TTCTATGAACTCAGGGAACCGTCTTTCTAACAAAAAGGGTTTAGGCAAAATAATGTGTGCAGCTGTAAATATTTTGCATCTGACCATTTTGCATCATCATCATCATCATCATCATCATCATCACCACTGTTATTATCATCATCATCATCATCATCATCAACGAACCCTGTTGCTCAGGACAACACTGACCTCTAGTTACCGTGGTGATTAACAGGTTTCCACTGTACTAATGTTCTAGAATTCTCAACATGTCTTTGACATCAGTTCCTGTAGCCTCCTGCAGTGACCAATAACTCTGTCAATTGATCAGCAAATCTTTAACTGCCCCATTTCATTCCTGATTCCAGCCCTCATCCACCTGTTAGCATCAGCTTCATACAATCAAACCTAATTGTCTGACTTTTTATGCGTCACGCAATGAACATAATAAATATGAAATTGACAACTGAAATTGATGGAGTCTTATTGAGAGATTAGAGACATTGCCGTTTCACTGAGTGAAACAGACAAAACGGGGCAGGCAATCAAACAGCAAATACAGGTTTCGGCAGATGAGCCAGGCCAGGATTCCAGTTGGATAATGTGATTGATAATCGGAACATGACTCACTGAGTCATCCTCAATCACAGGTTACGTTAATTGTGACAGTGGTGAAAAAAGTTGAGCGTAATTGGCGATGGATGGAAACAAACCGGTTCAGGTTATGAGGTCCAATCCCATTTGTGTAGATCACAAATGAAGTGAGGATTTGCCCACTGGAAGTATCACAAATTTGTTACCAACTTTTCGCCATTTCTGTTTTACAAAACCCATTTTAACGATAGATATAAAAGTATATAGTAGAAACAGACCATATTTTACATTTCTTTGGGTGAAATGTAATAAGATTAAATGACTGACTATGGCAGTTTTTAATGATAAATGGTGTTTTGCACAGTACATTTGATACTACAACAGCAATGAGATTCAAAATTACAAATATACGAGATAACATTCTGAAGTAAGAATGCCTTTTTCTACTTATGTGAGGCCTCTTGGTGTAATATCATGCACTTTTAACCCATGAAATGGAAACTGCTGGAATCAAAAATCTTCATCTACCTGTCCCTTGATGGCAACACCTTATTTTGTCACATACTAAACATGTACTTCAGACTTTCAAAACATCCCAAAGAGAACAGAGGTGATATAAGAAATAAGAAGTCAAAATCCTTTTTGAATTTCTGAAAAATTACTTCAACGATGAGAAACAAGTTGCAACAAATGAAATGACTCAACAACTCCTCATTACCAGATGATACTACAGAAGTATGAGGGGTACATAATTGCCTAGTACCTATTACTAATTGCTTTTAGTTCCGTTGATATTTGAAATACTCTTTTGATTATCTTGATCGTGACAGACTAGTTTAAAATACTTGAATATGAAATCAGTTATTAAGAGCAATGCGTATTGTATACATTCAGACTGTCGTGACAAATGGAGACAGAATGAGGCACACTGTAGCATCCCTGGAGGAGGATGTAGTGATACACATTTCATGTATCCCAAGTATTTCTCTATACATGCACCCGTGAAGATGGAGTTAGAATTGATCTTCAGTAACCCATTACGGATGCCACGATACATCGATACTTTTTCTAAGACGATACAATTATCGATACATTCAAAACTGTATCGATATTTAGTTTTGAAAGTATCGTTTTAAAAATATTTATGCATCGTTTACATTTTGCAATTTATCATGTTTTTTGATGTTATGAGAGTTACAATTGATTATTTTTCATGCACAAAGATGGGAAATTATAATTTTTTAATCTGAGAATAAAAGTGTTGATCTTTCCATGGACAATTATAAAATATGAAATATCAATGTTCCAAATGTAACTAAATTTACGCAATAATGCCGCGAAAATAGGTATCATGATACCTTTCGAATCATGACATGGGTATCGCGATACGTATCGATTCATGAAACGTATGTATCGTGACATGCCTATAACCCATGCTTGTAATAAAAGGTGACTAACGGGATCGCATGGTCAGGCTCGCTGACTGGGTGGACACATGTCATCATATCCCAGTTGCATAGATCGATGTTCATGCTGCTGAACCCTGGATTTTCTGGTCTGGATCCGATTATTGACAGATCGCCGCCATAGAGCTGGAATATTGCTGAGTGCGGTGTAAAACTGAACTCACTCACTCTCTATATATGCACATGTACCCTGACCAGACTGAAATACACCATAGCGAGCACCCCAGCACTGAAGCCACTGGGCAGTCCATTCAACGGGGAGCAAAACCAGTTTCACACCAGATTTACAGTTTGCCAAACTGTGTTACAATCAATCATGGCTGTACATGATGCGAGATGGATTTCATATGTTCGAATAAAATCCATTCAATACCAACACTGCAGTTGCCACTTTCTAACAAAGATCTATTCTGCAGCTCTACATTACAGGGACACCCACTGTTTAATAAACTGATCCAGTCACTCTAGTGCTACAGTCATCTCGAGTGTGTTTCTGTACGACGACTTTCACCAGGGTACATCTTGGTCTACAGAAATGTACCTGGGTTGCATGTAGACTTGCCCACTAAAAGGACAGAAATACTATAACCCAAAGACTCACATAGAACAGTATTGAAGCATGGCTAGGCCCTTATATCACACTTTAGTGTTAAGATCGAATTTATACCACAAGTTACTTCAAACAAAAGTTCCATAGTCCTTTGAGATTTTATGGACACTTCACTCTACCAGCTCCTGTGAACCCTCTTTTAGTGAAATCAATATGTAAGTCAGCCCTGACACAACTCTGCACTAGTTACTGTGTAGACCAACATGAAAGGAATAATGATACTGTCAGGGCATGTAATGTATACAAGTTTACAAATATCCCTTCTATTATGTTGTACTGGACAAAGACAGAAATAATGAGACACTTATAGACACTGTGTACAACAGTCCTGTAATGCATAATTGTACCATAACATGTGGTAAGGATCGCAAATAGATGTCAGAAGAAGATTCGTCCCAAAGATATACATATATATGTCTTGTTAGTTGTTGAAAATATGATTTGTCGATGTGTAATAAACATAAAGTTTTGTCTGATATAACTTGTTTAGTCATTTTACATGGGAAATGATATGAGTATTAAAAAATTAAAAAATAATGTATGGCCATTTTGACTTTTGGTATGGCCATTTTGACTAAGGGTTTGTGGCCATTTTGCCTTTTTAGTGGCCATTTTGACTTTTTAGTGGCCATTTTGACTTGGATGTTTATGGCCATTTTGACGTGTGGCCATTTTGACTAGGACCCCCAAGAAACATCCCGAGGACAATGATAGAGAAACTACCTTCCACAGGTTAAGTCTAATATTAGATTTGGGGAGTTGTTTAATGCAATGTTTAAGTTATATTCTGGTGGTCTGTAAATAATTAGGTTTGGACAGGGCATCCATTGATTAACATCTACGCATCAGTCTATATTATTGGGAGCCTAATCATCTGATCCTATAAGTTGCTTCGGAAACGGCTTCTTACGAACTCCATGGGCTGCTGAAAATCTCTAACCCTGATTTTCAAGATGACCAATACTTAGAGTGAGTATGGTGTCACACTGTTTGTGAAGCAACCAACGCCAGATATGATGTTGTGGATCAAACCTGGTCCTTCACTGCGATGAGCGAACACTTTAACCACAAGGCTATCTCATTGCCCAAATACTTAGAACATGAAGCATATTACAGCATTGTTTACATAATACTGAAACAAAAGTGGGTAGGACATCAGATCTCTCCATGAACTAGAAGACAAACATATTTTCAGATTTGCATGCATAATCAGAGAACTTGATGCCCATGTAAATTTGAAAACAGAACATGGAATATACAGGTATCCACGCATTCCTTTTCTGTGTGGACACAAAAACCTTTTAGACACATGAAATAACTCTACAATGCTTTGATGTCATGGCACATTACAATATGTCATCACAAGTTTTTCTGATATTATAACTGTACATGAGGTAACGGGAGCAATGTTCAATTTTTCAGGCCAAATGCCATGTTTTCTTAATTTTAGACATGACACTTTCAAAAACATTATGCATCCACCATGAGACAAGAGTTAGTGTTGAGCAATGTAAACACATTGCTACATTTATCTTTGCTACATAACACTCAGTTTAACAATATTCTTCATCTGAAAAAAAGACACATATAGATTTGACAGCCTTTCTGAAACTCAGTTATCCAATATCTCAACACACCATCATCTTGTTGTAACTGGTGGCAAGGAATTGTATGTTTAAAGCAGTCTTCTTGCTCTGAGTTTGCCTTGTTCACAGTATTTAAAAGTGATTTGAAGCTCTGGAGTGTGTTCCACAAAGTGATCATAGCCTTTACGTGATTGTAACTCCCATATTTCAACACAGACTTAAAGCTGTCATTACATTATGATCGGTATGTGGAACTTGGTCCAGTGAGTCAGATCTTATTGACGCACCATCCCCTGATGTAGGAACAGTCCTTTACCAAGAGAAGTAATGTACAGTCACAGAGCCAGTATGGCTTCCATTGCTCTCAGTGTAACTGCCATACTTGTTCCAGGTCAGAAGCAAATGTTGTCCCTGCTGCTTTGATAGGGTGAATGTTGTCTAGTGTTGTCAGCGTTATTCCAGCTTCATGACAACAGTCTGTAAAACATTGAGTTTGAGCCAGACTGTGGTTGACAGTATGAAGACAACCCATTATCAGCCACTGAATCCATTTGATTCTCATTTAGTTGGCTCTTGTGTGGTACCGGGGTCTATTACACAAAGCGACTGCAGCAGTAGGTGAACATAACCCCCACACATTAATATGGGCTGACGACAATTGTTGTTATATAATCGCTTTGTGAACAGAGCCCTGGGTACTGTCCTGACCCTGTTGTATCTGTGTGTGTGTAAAGGAGTGAATGAGACAAGGCTATAGACACTTACCTGTAGTCCTCCCGTGGCTGTTCGATGACCCGCAGGACGGACATCTTCCATGCCTCCAGCTCATCCAACTCAAGACGGGCCTCCACAGCTGCTAGGGCTTGCTCGGGGAGGATCTGAAGAGGAGATGAATGACATTGGGACTATACTCCAGGCATGATAGCATCATTATGTTTTCGTTTTTGTTATTTAACTCAGCAGACTCAGCAATATGTCAGCTGTAGGACATTAATTAGTAAATAACCGAGGCTGGACCAGACAATCCTGTGACTGATAGAGTGAAAGCTAATCTATGAACCAGCTAGGTGTGATGATATTAACTAAACCACCAGGCCTATGTGTTGTAGGCACCCCCTATAAGGAGTCGTTGCATTGCTGGGTTACTGGCTTATAACCAAAGTAGAGAAGGTAGACTGGCCAATACATTAAACCAATTTAGTCTAGGAGGAATAAAGTTAAATCTAACATTAAAATAAATATTTTAATGTACATCTGTAATGTTTATACATAAGTTTGTAAAATACCATAAATGACTCATAATCCATACTTTCGGACTAACAACACCTCCAAATGCACAGGGAAGGATTAACAGCGTAAAAAAGTGTCATTTACACAGAAAATATATAAACAACATACAAAGGTATAAAATGTACATTGGGTGTGGGAAGCTTATTTTTGTGCTTTTGTTAGCCATACTTATATATTTGGTTATGTGAAATGTCAAAACCCGAGGAATACCAGGTCAACTTTAAGCCACTTCAAAGTTTTCGACAACTTCATACTTGACATTACTTGTTGGGCCTTATAATATCTTTATCCAACCTATCCTTTCTCAATCTGAACCCGTTTCCCATTCTCCTACATACTACATAACACACCTGGAATAAGTAGTTGGATGCAAGACCAGGACCGGCGATCCGACGAGCGACAAACCCATCACCAGCTGGAACTCGCCCTCGACTCTTGATGACAGCATGAAACATGAAGGTATCCCACAATCCTCTACCACCGCGGCGCAAGACACCAACTGAAACCAACATTTTCATAATTAAAGCAACAACAAACACATTTAATAAAAATTGCATCTCAAGCACATTTCATATTTATCATAAGTTTGTTTTGTCTCAATATTAAAGTAAGGTAGAAGATTTATCGATGTCAACTTCTTTTTTATGATGAACAAAATGCTTCAGAGCATATGCATCCTCTTCCATCATACAAATAAACTGTTATGTTCCTCATAATAAAGAAGTTGACAGCTATAAATTCTCCCTCCAAAGGATATCACTTTTAAATGCAATTCAAAGACTTAATATTTTAGTTATTTTAAACTCTTACTGCTAAATATTTTACACCTTGGATGTTGACAAAGGAGTATCTCAAAAGCTGCATGTGGTGAAAGATTACATACACAGGATGATGGCGAGTGAAGCAAGAGGACAACAGATGGCACCAAACAGAGCTGCAGCGATTGGCTGGACACAGCCCTGGAGAAGGATCCTCCAGATGAGTGCCTCCAGAAGGATGCAGATCTTGTTGCTGTGATCATCTGCAAAAACATAGTTCTCCAGATCCAGATCAACAAAGCCTTGTAGCATTCCAAACTATTGTAACTATATAGTTTATTATTGGCATATGAATATTGTAGTGCTATTGCCTTGTCAATCGGGCCCAGGATCTTCATAAACAAAACCTTGTGAAATGAATATCCAAGGAAGTTTTTCACAGCCAAGGCATTAACTATAAATTTACTTTGCACATTCATTTTAATGTATACTTCTAGATTTACATTTTATGCTTTCATACCAGTGGTAGCCAAAACATTTTCTTCTCCTTAATAACTGACTGAATAGAGTTTTCTTTCCAGTAATGTATACTATTTTATATGAAGCATCATTCTTTTAACATCTTTCATTTTCTTTCTTGGACATGCATATACCTGGCGAGTCCCAGTCGTAGATGAGGAAGAAGCCCACTTCAACTACAAGTGTCACCAGTGGAACCCTGGAGTAGAAACAGAGAATATACTGTTACTGAGAGTTGTTCAACTTAACTATACCCTTTGGTCAACAGTATAGGAATATTTCACAGATAGGACAGTCGTCATCATCTTATATACATGTGGATGTACAGTAACACATGCAGGGGAACTCAGTGGTGGAAGAGGGTACCATGTAATCTGGTTACACAGGGATGCATCAAGCTTCTAACAAAACTGGACCAATTGGCGCAATGATTTCTGAAAGTGGGTCAACACCGATCTGAGTGAGTAAGTGAGTGAGTGAGCTTAGTTTTACGGCGCACTCAGCAATATTCCAGCTATATGGCAGCGGTCTGTAAATAATCAAGTCTGGACCAGACAATCCAGTGATCAACAGCATGAGCATCGATCTGCGCCAATTGGGAACCGATGACATGTGTCAACCAAGTCAGCGAGCCTGAACACCCGATCCCGTTAGTCGCCTCTTACGACAAGCATGGATTACTGAAGGTTCATTCTAACCCGGAACCTTCACGGGTAACCTATCTGAGCAAGGTCCAGCATGAACTTTTAACAAGTTTATGACCTCACTATTTGAGCACACCAGGAAAAGGCAGTCACATGATCAAAGGATGCAATCGCAACATTTGACTTTGACCATAGGTACCTTGGGATATTATGAGGATTAGCACTGATTATTGTTTTTGTTCAAGATACAAGTCACGAAATATGACTGACACAGTATTTATGAATTGCTGTATTGTTAAATTTGCTTCAGTTGTATGTCACACTGGTGAACTCAACTCTATTTGCATGAAATTTGGCACAGACTTTTCAGTTTGCTGAAGTAAAGACACAACTATGTATATCCCTCAATCCCATGGCCTAGATGCATCCCTGGTTACACATTTCCTGTTACTGACATTCCTACAGTGAGTGGTTCACCACATGGACCTACATTACACACATGTGTATAGGCTGTTAGTTACAACATCTGGAACATAATGGTTGTGTAAGGGAATCACATTCTCATTAAATGTCTCACTGAAGCATTATTTAGTGTACAAGTGACTTGGGTTTAACGCTGTTTTGAAACATATTTGAGATATATCATTGTGTGTCCCCCTATTGTGAGAGGAAAGCCTAAAGTGATGCAGATGCCAGAAGTTGACAACTCTGGCATAACCCCTGGGTACAGGTATGCTGCTGACAGTGACAAAGCATTAAAACATAATCAAGGTGATCCATGATTCAAACCCTTGACAATAGGTTTCTGACTTGGCAAGGGGAGGCAACTCTTTTGAGGACAGGGCAATACTTGCCCCTTAGGGACCGATCATAATTTATGGCTGGGGGGGGATGAGGGAAGAGAGATAAAGAGAAGAGAGATGTGATGATTCTTATGGTGAAGCTTGTACGATGTGAATGCCCCCTCCCCCCCCCCCATTTATATAGTGACCACCCCTTGCATGTCATGTGCAAAATGGACCGCCTCCGTGGTGTAGTGGTTAGAGCGTCCACCCGGAGAGCGGAAGGTCGCGGGTTCGATCCCCGACCGTGTCATACCAAAAGACGTTAAAATATGGTACTTGTTGGTCCCTGCCTGGCACTCGGCATTAATGGGTACAACAAGGACTGGTCGGCTCGGAGTCAGTATAATGTGTCTGAGTGGGGTATTCATGCTTCACTGCGGCATGGTATCTCAGTGGGCTAGCACTATAAAACCAGCTTTAGTCTGGGCTAGTACAAGCAGCCGCACATACCCATACACACGTATGCACGTCGTCATATGAGCGAAATATTCTCAAGCACGACGTTAAACCCAATTTCACCTCACCTCACCTCATGTGCAAAATCATTTTAACGTACAAAATTGGTGACCCCCACAGTACATGTGTACAAAATTTATGACCTCCCAGATCTTCAGCGTGACGAGCAAATGCCACTAGGCTACCGCAATCCCAACCCCATCCCCATTGTTAAATATTAATGTTAGTAATAATATTAATCTCATACAACAGGGGGCGGTGGGATAGCCTAGTGGTTAAAGCGTTGGCTCGTCACGCCGAAGACTCGGGTTCGAATCCCCACATGGGTGCAATGTGTGAAGCCCATTTCTGGTGTTCCCCGCCGTGATGTTGCTGGAATATTGCTAAAAGCGGCGTAAAACCAAACTCAGTCAGTCAGTCATACAACAGATATTGTCTTCAGCTGTTTATTAAACTGTTAGAAATTCGTAGCAAACCAAAACCAGTGATAGGAGTAATCAGGAGTGGCCTAGTACACACAGTGTTTACTCCTCCCACGTGTTCCTACTTACCAGAGCGGTGATGTTATAGATAGGACGAGAGACACACTGGAGGTCACGACACAGAACACCGGGAACACAACAGACAAAACAAGGCTCCCAAATGCACCCTTCACGACATAGTTCCAGATTCTGTTGATGTGTCTTGTGAAACTCTTCCCCAGGAAACCTGAAACAGAAAGTAGTTCACACCCTCCAGTTCCACCTTGTTGACTCCATGTCCTGCTTGTGTCCGAGATACAGTTGGAGATGTGTGGAGAGTTCATGTTATACAAGTACAGATTGTAATATAATGCCACATTGTCTGCTGATACTGATCTGGAAATGACTTGATGATCTTGCTGACTGATCATCAGATACTGGAAAAGTTTTAACGTCTTTGAGTGGCACTTTTAGAAGTCAGATAAGGACAAACTTGGATGAACAACTTCTTTAGGTGATGAGACGTTTCAATACAGATACCTGCTTGACAACGATACAAGAATCTGTATCAAAACATCACATCACCGAATAAAGAAGTTGTTCATTCAAGTTTGTCCTTAACTGGAAATGTGTTAACATAAAGTTTTAAAATAAATATAAGCAGATAAGACTTACTTTCTCACATGCTTTATAGATAATTTTGGTGTCCCTTCTCTCCATGAGTAAGATAGCACCATTCAACAACCAAATTCTCTGATGATACACATATAGTGTATGTTCAGAATGCCCTACAACCTATATGTCTGTGCAATACAATACCCCATCCCTGAAACAAATGATTCAGGGTTGTGATTAACCAGCCCAAAGGAAGAACAAGAAAGTTGAAATAGAAGTACAGTATCGGGATACGATCACACCCATATTGACAGGATACATCACGACCCCTCCATCCTGTTGCACCGCTAGCAAACATGAGCAATGAGAGAATGCTGCAGTCAGCAATACTACAGCTACATGATACATCACACCAGCCTGTTATGATAAAACCAAAGGCTGAAATTGTGAAAACATTTAGGCTTAAGTGGAAGAGTTGATAGGGACATTGTCTCAGCAACCACTCAGTCCACGGACCCACCTGTATCAGGGGTTTCTTCAAACTTCTTCCTCGAGTCGTGAACATGAGTCCAGAGGGCTCGCAGTCGGGACAGGAGGGTGTGAGTCAGTGATGATGGCTTTGGGTATAGCACCCCCCTGGGCAGACAGAATACACAATCATAAATTACTGGTACACCAAACTCTGGCCAAACACATGGTATACAATCATAGGTTAATGGTCACACACCCTGGCCACATATAGAATGCACAATCTTAGGAACCTAGTACAGGGTCCCCTGACCAAACACAGTATGCACAATCATAGGTTACTGGTACAGCAACCCCTTGCCACGTACAAAATACACCATCACAGGTTACTGGTACAGCGCCCCCTTGCCACATGTAGAATGCACAATCTTAGATACCTGGTACAGGGTCCCCTGGCCAAACACAGTATGCACAATCATAGGTTACTGGTACAACGCCCCCTTGCAACATACAAAATACACCATCACAGGTTACTGGTACAGCGACCCCTTGCCACTTACAAAATACACCATCACAGGTTACTGGTACAGCGCCCCCTTGCCACTTACAAAATACACCATCACAGGTTACTGGTGTCTCAAGTGCCACTTCAGCTATTTGACAGGTCTACAGATACTTCTATCACATAAGGTATTTCATGTCATCATCAGGAATTCAGGAAATGGAAACATATTGCAACACAACATTCAACAATACAAACTGATGTAAATCCCATGTATAATGATCTCTGAAGACATATGAAAGAAAAGCTACCCCAGAATATTACAGCAGTAGCATCCAGGGCCTAGATTTTCGAAGCTCTCTTAGAGCTAAGATAGTCGTAAGTTAATGTTAATGTATGGCACTTACGACTATCTTAGAGCTAAGAGAGCTTCGAAAATCTAGGCCCAGGGCTAGAACCATTGGACACTTACATTGACTTGGCTGAGCTTCAGGTCGGCCATGAACGGGGAGGGAGAGAAGAGAGCTCGGAGGCCGACGGGGCTGCACCACACAATGACCACCTGGAGCAGACGTCAAACAACATTATGGAGTCAACTGACTGAATGAAACTGACAAACTGTCATATCCTTTCATTTGTTTTTATATCAAATTAATACTGCTTGGATAGTTCTGACTGAATGATCTTTGAGGAGTACATGCATGTGAGTCTTAATCTCACCCCGAAGAAAAACATGGAGTTCCAGGTCCATGACCATGCTCGATGTAGGTAGTTCCACCAGCGCCAGAATGGATGTCGTGTGGAGGTCTTCCTCTCTGTGTACTTGTCCACAGTGTATGTCATCTGAACAGGTAATATCACATTTCAACAGATCTCAGTGGACAGTAAGTACGGAACCTGTCACATATGGACTTTATCAATCATTGTACCTAAATCCCTGAATTGGCTCATTTGTTCCTTTGAAAATGTAATTTTTGGAGTAAAATTGATATTTTATACTTATCCTGACTCATGCTCTTTTTGCTTGTCTTCTTCTTCTTGCGAACATAGTGGAACACTTGTATCTCCCTAATTGAAGCTCCCTTCAATTTAAAATCACTAATTAGTATTCACCACGAGTTACCTCCTTTCCACAAGCGCGGGAACGAGGGCGCCACCTCTACCCATGTGCCTCACTCTCTCCTCATATACTGAGCCCAACATTTGAATTTGCCGGAAATCCAAAGTGTTATTTGGGGGAGGATGGGAGGGCTGACCTCATGAGTCAGGATAAGTATAAAATATCAATTTTACTCCAAAAATTACATATTTTCCTTATCCTGACTCATGCTCTTGCTTGTAGCATCCTACGGAGAACGGAGGTGGGAATATCTAATACTTTGGATTTTTAATAATTAGTGATTTGAACTGTGATGATTGTAATAACCCTATGGGAACTTCATAAAGGCACTGAACTGATGAATTCCTGCTGCTAACTTATCAGCTGCCATATATAAAAGGTTATTACCATGTACTTATTATGATAAAGTATATATAACATTAATACAATGCTTAAGACTAATAGACTTAAGCTTGTTAATATGCTAGAATAAACTCCTTAGAGTTTGTTAGCTAAAATACTTTAAGATATAACATAGTACTAAGCTTAAGATATGATTAAACTTAAGCTAATTATATAATAGCAAACTCTTTAGAGTTTGTTAGTTAATATACTTATATGATATAGATATAATGCTGAGCTTAAGATATGAATAAGCTTTAGCTACATATATAATAGCAAAAACTCTGTAGAGTTTGTTAGCTAATATATTTTTTATGATATGAGTATAGTACTGTGCTTAAGCTATAATTAACTTAAGCTACATATATAATAGCCAAACTCTGTAGAGTTTGTTAGCTAATATATTTTATAATATGAGTATAGTACTGTGCTTAAGCTATAATTAACTTAAGCTACATATATAATAGCCAAACTCTGTAGAGTTTGTTAGCTAATATATATTTATAATATTAGTATAGTACTGAGCTTAAGATATAATTAACTTAAGCTACATATATATAGCAAAACTCTGTAGGGTTTTGTTAGCTAATATATTTTTACAATATGAGTAGAGTAGTGTGCTTAAGATATAATGAACTTAAGCTACATATATAATAGCAAAACTCCGTGAGAGTTTGTTAGCTAATATATTTTACAATATGAGTATAGTATTGTGCTTAAGATATTATTAACTTAAGCTACATATATAATAGCCAAAAACTCTGTAGAGTTTATTAGCTAATATGTTTATAGTGTAACCATAGTACTAAGCTTAAGATAAGATTAGACTTAAGCTAAATGTATATAGCAAAATAAACTCCTTAGAGTTTATTAACTAATATACTTTTATGTTAAAACATAGTACTGAGCTTAAGTTATGATGAAACTTAAGCTATATATGTATAATAACAAAACTCCATTGGGGTTTTGTTAGCTAATACCTTTATAATGTAAACATACTGCTTAAAATATGATGAAAACTTAAGCTAATTGTATAATAGCTTGAAAACAACCCTTTAGAGTTTGTTAGCTATGATATAAACCTAGTATTGAGCTTATGAAGGAAAACTTAAGCTACATATATAATAGCAAGAACTCCGTGAGAGTTTGTTAGCTAATACATGTTATAATGTAACCATAAAGCTTAAAATATGATGAAACTTAAGCGAGAAATATATAATAGCAAAACCTCTTTTAGAGTTTTGATAGCTAATATACCTATATGATATAAACATAGTACTAGCTTAAGATATGAATAAGCTTAAGTTACATATATAATAGCTAAAACTCTGTAGAGTTTGTTAGCTAATACATGTTATAATATAACCATATTGCTTAGAAATATGATGATACTTAAGCCAAATAAGCAAAAACTCTTTAGAGTTTGTTAGCTAATCTACTTATATGATATAAACATAGTACTAAGCTTAAGATATGAATAAGCTTAAGCTACCTATATAATAGCAAAACTCCTTAGAGTTTGTTAGCCAATATATTTTAATAATGAGTATAGTACTATGCTTAAGGTATAATTAGCTTAAGTTACCTATATAATAGTAAAACTCCATGAGAGTTTGTTAGCTTAATTAACTTAAGCTATGTATAAAATAGCCAAAAACTCTGTAGAGTTTGTTAGCTAATGCATTTATCATGTAACCATAGTATTACTCTTAAGATATGAATAACTTTAAGGTAAATATATATAATAACAAACTCTGTAGAGTTGTTAACTTATATATTGTATGATGTAATAATCATAGTACTGTGATGATAAAAGGAACTTAAGTAAATTATATATAGCATGAAGCTATTTAGTATTGTTATAAGATAAGTAAAATCTGTTAGATTGACTTATCTTCTCCGAGGAACTGTCAGCTGCTGTGCTGAGGACCATGGGATCGAATTGGTGTATACCTGAGGCGCCCTCGGTGGTGATATCTCTCAGATAATGGTTTGCAACCACCATATCGATTTCCAGAAATAAAACCTCCATTATTTCAATCACATTTGTGTAGAACAATTGTAGAAGTTAAGCTATAATATCATGAGTATTAAGCTCATGGAGGGTCGGAATAGGTCCATCCGCATATGCACGTAGTATGACAGTTCTGATCCAAATGGAGATATAGTACATGAGACTTCACTCTCGAAGTTGATGATAGAGGAAATAATCTGTTGCATTTTTTCCTCCTGTTTTGGTTTGGTGGAGATAAATTTACAGTGCTCTTGCTGGCCATCTTGATAGAATCATCGTATCATGGGGTCCAAGTATGTCATCCAGGCGTGTTCATAAACCTCACTTGTGAGGTGTTGGAGCACTATATTCATATCCCCAGGTTGGAAGTGAAATTTCGCTTTATTCTCCAAACAGAAGTTTAGTAGGTTTACTAACCATCTAGTTGTGTTAGTCGCTGATGAAATTCAGCTGTAGTCTGAAACGGCTGTGGATTTAGATCCACTTGTATCTTTCGCCTCATTAATTCGCCATAAGTCCTTGGCGATGTAGGTGCACAACCAGGTGTGTCTGTCCTCGTTGAACTTTTATGTAAAATCGCTTCGACTGCCGATCCCTCGTCTTAACTTGACAGGGAGGTCTCTAACTTGAAGAAGGCAGTCTAATCATGAATGTTCAGGTTAACTGGACTGTAATGAGGCTTGCTCGTTCACTGATATATAGTTGTCACTTGTGACGAAGTCTAGAACTGTGAATTGAGATCGACCTCGTGGAGGTCGTTGTCCCTCAGCCGTCCAATCAGAACAAGGCATTTTGATTCTGTATAATACCCGCTGTGATGTCACCGGTGTGAAGCGGAAAAAACCCACCTTGAATAACTTCTTGTCGTCGTTGATATTAGCATAAACGCCGGTCTTCACCGTAGCTTCAAGTTATCCGAAGTGACCACGTGTTTCGAGGGTTAATGGTAACCAGCTGAAACCTCGGCGTATGAAATATCTCGCTCTGTAATTTTATGCTGGGTAGGTTATTTTCCTGGTTGTCGAAAGTAATTTCAGTTTTGAATATAATTCCGACTTCCTTATATATAAGGGTATACACAACTTGCAAGTTGTGAGCTTGTAGACTGTATACATGAATGTATCGTCATAATTGTAGAATTAACGTTGAACTTGTTGTACATATTTCTTCTCAGAAACTTTGACGATTAAGAGTTATACCGCTGTAACAAGGCTGCTGTTCAATTTCGATATTGAATTGTTCGCAGATAGCGTAATGGTCACGCATGTAGATAATCGTATCGTCGTCCGGGATTGTATATTAGCAATTTATCAATGAATAGTTGATTTCTGTGAAGATCTATGAAATGTCGCTGACTAATAATACAGCGACGCTCTGTGTTGTAAATAGCCTGAGCAATTATCTTCGGCAGAGGCTTATAGATCGCATCTGGCATACAGTTGATAATCAACTTATGACGCCTTGAACGGACTGACGAAGTAGCTATATATGACGAAGTGGCTAGTATATGGAAACCTTGGAGGAGACTTCCTCGGTGAACGCCGGAGACTTCGCCAAGTTCTTTAAGTATCCCTTCTAGATCTTCTGGGTGAAGTAGACTTGGAGCCACTTAGCCTTCACCATTCATCGAAGGTGTCGAAGTCAAAGCCCGATTAGTATATATATATATATATAAATATATATATGAGCTTGCTTCGTGAACAGCCTCTGTGTTTAACAGGATGTGGGATCGGCGCTTGCCTAAGTAGGGGCGCATGGATCATCTTATCATATTCAGAAGTCGTGTTACGAAGTCTGGTGATAAGTGTCCAATTGATCGCTCTAGATCTATTTAGGCCAGCTTAACATACGCCTCGGTCATGGATTCAACAGAACCAATATACGATTGTAGTTCTTATACTTGATATCGATGATCAACTTGTCTATGGGTTGATCTTCTCGGAGACTTGTGAGGGGAACGTTGATAGTTTGCGAAGCTCTTGTATAGTCCCTCGATGTCCTTCTAGATGATGATGATCTGGATTCAGGTGTCCTTCAGCATGCTTCGCTGGCTTTCTCGTCCGTCCGGGGAACGACGATATAACCTTCGCGAAGGCTTCGTGGATGTCTGATGGTCGAGTCCACATCTAGGGATGAAACCGCAAAGGTGATGATCTATCCTGCCTTCACGAAGTCCTTCGCGAAGGCTGTACATCTAGGTTCTTTCCGCCTTCGCCGAAGGCTGTACATCTAGGTCCTTTCGCCGAAGCGAAGGCCTTCGCCGAAGAGCTGTACATCTAGGTCCTTCGCCAAGGTGGTCCGTGACTTCCTTCGCGAAGGTGACATCGCCCTGGCTGCTACGCTGACGGGGTGCCTCTGGGTGCTGCTCACGTTGGAGCCTTCGCTGGCTGCTCGGACCCTGCTACCGCAGATATTGGTCCTCCATGATGTTCATAATTTGTCGCGATCATGTCTTCTGGGATGGTCTCGCGACGCAGGTCGCCGGTGCTTTATCTGCGGTGTTAATGGAGGGGTCCACCGGAAAATGCGTCCGACATCAGTGTGTAGAGGCATCAGGCTGCATGGTGATCTCTGCTGATGTCGTTGTAGCTGTCACCGGGTCGCTTCTTGTATGCGTCGCGCGGGGATGATGATCAGCTGATCATCGAGAGGTCCAGGTCATCGGCTGGAACAATCTCGGTTGAGAAAGTCCTAGTAGACTTCGTTGATTTTCCTCAGATTCGACGTCGCGCTGCCTGGGTGTGCGACGTCTGCGTTGAGTGTTGGTAATGATGGGACCCTCAGGACGATCATCGATATCTCGCGTTGGTACATCAGGCTGCATGCTGATCTGTGCCGACATCGGTCAATCTTTGATGTACATCCGGTATGATGACCGGCTGATCATCATACAGGCCCAAAACTTCGATGGGAACGGTCTCGGTTGTTGAGATGTAGTAGAAAAACCCTCTAGTCTTCTGCTGCGGCGATGGATGTCTGGGGAAGCAGGATGCTTCTTGGAGATGGCGGACTACGCCCCACACCTCTCCACCACTCTAGCGGAACACCACACAGGAGGAGTCGGCCAACAGCAGGTAGACTGGCGAGGGTTCCGTGTATCAGTCATACTAGACTCTGCATCGCGACCTATCTGCTGTGCGTGCCAAACGCAAAGTAAATATTAATAAAAGGTAGAATTGATAAATTAGTACCGCGAACTGCAATGTGAATATAATAAACATGGCCGTACATCATATTAGAAGGCGGATCAGCAGCAGCATAAAAACGTAATCTGCAATAGTACAGAATTTTCATCAACGTAATCCACTGAAACAAACCACGGTCCATTGACTAAACTGTAGAAAAGCGACTAAATATCAATATATAATCGTTGAAGGATACTAGCTAAACCTCTATAGATGTCTATACGAGGTAACTAACTAAATATAATTCAAAGGATATAGTGTGTCGGGAGACACAGGCGCTCTCACGTCCAGCTCACTGGGCGAAGAAGGAGAGAGTGAGGCACATGGGTAGAGGTGGCGCCCTCGTTCCCGCGCTTGTGGAAAGGAGGTAACTCGTGGTGAATACTAATTAGTGATTTTAAATTGAAGGGAGCTTCAATTAGGGAGATACAAGTGTTCCACTATGTTCGCAAGAAGAAGAAGACAAGCAAAAAGAGCATGAGTCAGGATAAGGAAAAATAGTGCTATTTTACCATAATAAGTTTCTACTACAAACTATTCCAAACATAATAAGGTTTAATATTGCTTATCAACACCAGATTCCTCAATTCACACAAAATGGCAGCCAAGGGGAGATAACTTTCCAGATTTCTAGACTTGAACAACAAAAGGTTCTGCAACAACTGCTAATGCTAATAATGTCTTTCTTGCACATATTCAAATTACTAATTTCACATCCTTGTAATTCTGCAACATGCTTTCAAACCATTTTCACTGAAAAAAAACCCTGAAAAATATTTAGTCCATTTTCAGGTGAAACAAACCTCCTTTTCGCCAGCAACATTTTCAGGTGCTGAGTCCGTGATGACAGTTTGGATGATCTCAGTCTCTCCCCGGAAGTGTCGTCTGATCACCCAGTTCTGGGGGAACCAGATCTTGGTAGAGAAGGTGAACACTCGGGTTGCTTCCTTGACTTTGCTCAGCTCCTGCCTGAGAATAGTCTCTCTCTGGAATGGGGGGACAGGGAAGTCATACACAGACATAACGAATTGGTTTCTAACTCACTTGTCAGCATGAAGTAACAATTTATCATAAATTCAAAATACTCTATTGATTTGTCATTATAACACGGTAAGGCAAGGTGTTTCCTCATTAAACACTAACGACCTACTTACTATTACTTAACTCTAAAATGAGATCTTCATTGCCAAGTTTGAGATCTCTCAAGACCTGACAAACCCTTCACAAATCAATTCTAACAAGATTGACATCAGCAACACTGAAGTTAGGTCCAGGTCCATGAAGGGCACCTTCCTTTCATTCTCAAAATGCATTTTTTAATTGATACATTAACAAATACCTGTGTAGCATTATTATTGGCAGAGGTATTCTGTTGAACCTAAGATAACAATAACTGCCAGAAAAATACAAGAACTTCTTCCAAACAGAATTATAGTGTAGGGTGTGTAAATATTTTCACTTGTCAACAACACAAGATACCAGAAGTTACCAGGGTGCTGTTATACAAAACAACCTCATCGCTAAGACTACCTGAAGTCTATGTTAAGGTATGGGAGTTATGGTCACAGTTACCAGGGTGCTGTTATACAAAACAACCTCATCACTAAGACTACCTGAAGTCTATGTTAAGGTATGGGAGTTATGGTCACAGCTACCAGGGTGCTGATATACAAAACAACCTCATCACCAAGACTACCTGAAGTCTATGTTAAGGTATGGGAGTTATGGTCACAGTTACCAGGGTGCTGTTATACAAAACAACCTCATCGCTAAGACTACCTGAAGTCTATGTTAAGGTATGGGAGTTACGGTCACAGTTACCAGGGTGCTGTTATACATAACAACCTTATCACTAAGACTACCTGAAGTCTATGTTAAGGTATGGGAGTTACGGTCACAGTTACCAGGGTGCTGTTATACAAAACAACCTTATCACTAAGACTACCTGAAGTCTATGTTAAGGTATGGGAGTTACGGTCACAGTTACCAGGGTGCTGTTATACAAAACAACCTTATCACTAAGACTACCTGAAGTCTATTTCAAGGTATGGGAGTTACGGTCACAGTTACCAGGGTGCTGTTATACAAAACAACCTTATCACTAAGACTACCTGAAGTCTATTTCAAGGTATGGGAGTTACGGTCACAGTTACCAGGGTGCACCAAGACTACCTGAAGTCTATGATAAGGTATGGGAGTTACGGTCACAGTTACCAGGGTGCTGTTATACAAAACAACCTTATCACCAAGACTACCTGAAGTCTATGATAAGGTATGGGAGTTACGGTCACAGTTACCAGGGTGCTGTTATACAAAACAACCTCATCACCAAGACTACCTGAAGTCTATGTTAAGGTATGGGAGTTACGGTCACAGTTACCAGGGTGCTGTTATACATAACAACCTCATCGCTAAGACTACCTGAAGTCTATGTTAAGGTATGGGAGTTACGGTCTCAGTTACCAGGGTGCTGTTATACAAAACAACCTTATCACTAAGACTACCTGAAGTCTATGTTAAGGTATGGGAGTTACGGTCACAGTTACCAGGGTGCTGTTATACAAAACAACCTTATCACTAAGACTACCTGAAGTCTATGTTAAGGTATGGGAGTTATGGTCACAGTTACCAGGGTGCTGTTATACAAAACAACCTTATCACTAAGACTACCTGAAGTCAAGGTTAAGGTATGGGAGTTATGGTCACAGTTACCAGGGTGCTGTTGTACAAAACAACCTTATCACTAAGACTACCTGAAGTCTATGTTAAGGTATGGGAGTTACGGTCACAGTTACCAGGGTGCTGTTATACATAACAACCTTATCACCAAGACTACCTGAAGTCTCTGTTAAGGTATGGGAGTTACGGTCACCTTAGCACTAGATCACTTTGTACAATGACACCCTGAACAGTAGAAATAACTATCAGGAAGGTTGAAATCTATAATGCTGACCTCCTTGATGAAGTTCAGGTCCCTGCGGAGGAAGTAGATAGCCTGGTTGAGGCCCTGGTCCTCACAGATGCTGATGGCCTCCTCATGGGCGGACCACAGGTTCTGGGTGAGGAACTCCTCCTGAGGACAATAAACAGGTAAAAAAAATGTCTACATCATCATCATCATCATCATCATCTGGATGTTTATTGTGCATCACATAGTGATTCAAACTGTTTGGAGATGAAATTGGAGGTTTTGATCCGTACCCAAACTCGTCACCATCATCATCAACATTTTTTGTTTTGTGCGCCACATTGTGATTCTAACTGCTTGATGATAAAGCTGAGGGTTTTGATCACCCAAACTCATCACACTGATTTATCTAACTGTTACCATATGATGAAATCTGGCTGTATTATTACTATATTATAGGGCCTGTAAGTCTCATGAGGCGCTACTTCCAGTACTAAGCAGGGCCTAGATTTTCGAAGCTCTCTTAGAGCTAAGAAAGTCATTAACTTACGACTATCTTAGCGCTAAGAGAGATTCGAAAATCTAGGCCCTGGTTGCCAGCTCCCTTTGCAATGCCAACTTGCAATATGCGAGACAGGGCCCAGCTTACTTCCGGTACCAGATTTCTGGTGACAAGCGTATATTAAAGAACCAGTTCTGGTTCCAAATTGCGCGACCGCCATTTATGACTTTACTAGCCCGGACCAAGCGTACAACCATGCTTGGCTGTTACAGCTGTTGACAGTCGTAATAGTTGGCTAATTTGGGGATGGTTAGATCGGAAATTTGTTAATCCTGCAAGGATTATCGATTCCTCACTGTCAACTGAAAACAATGAAGCCATTCAGAAAGGTGAGGTGAGTTGAACTGGTCTAAACGTGCGCGACTTGAGAATATTTATGCTATCTTATCATCTCACGACAAAGCGCACAATGCATGCGTGTGTATGTGTATGTGGGGCAACACTTGTGGTTACAGAGCCCATGCGGATTAAGCTGGTTTGAATAGTTGTCACTAGAGGTAGTCCTTGCTCTTTGTACCCATTAATGCCGCTAAAAGCCGGCAGGCAGGACCAACAAACAGACATTTAACAGCTTTTGGTATGATACGCAGTCTATTGTTATTGATTAACTCGCCTCGATTAATTTTATCCCAGGCGGACGTGTGATGTTAACCACTACACCAGTAAGGGAGGCGCTAGTCTCCATTCAGTGTGATGGTATACGGTGAAATGTTGTTTGTCACTGGAAGTTTTACCAAACAAACCTTATTGGTGTGTCTCTCGGAGTGCTGAATGACCTACTTAGGAGCAATTATCACTGTTTAAATCTTATAATCTCGTCGGACAACTGCACAATCCAAAACTTTGCATGTATGCAATCTGCAATATCCCAGCTATATGACAACAGTCTGGAACTAATTACTTCAGTATCAAGATCACAGATGATTTTGTTAATATTATTTAGCATATGGTACTTAAAATACATGTAATATGGTATTGTTAAAGTGGGTTATTAAACTTTGAGGGTTTGTTGTTAGATTATATCTGGTAATACTATGGGAACAGGGTTGTATGCAGGGAAGCGTGACCAGGTATGGCCAGAGAGCTGGGGAGTTAATTGATAAACAATAGGGAGGTGTAGAGTAGCTTGGGTATGGGAGGTCAGTATAAATAGTGGGAGAGGGTAGTAATGGTTAGTAATTAGTAATTTGTACAGTCAGCCAGAATCACCATTGTGTTCATACATGAGTTAAATCAACAGATATTCAGATACATCTCACGCTGGTTGCAGTAAGTTTTAATCAATACTTTCTTTCATGATTGATTATATTCAGCAAGAGACTTTTAAAGTTATGGATTATTGTAAACATAAATAGCCACTTACTGAAGATGAAGTCACTGTTCTGCTTAAACAGTGCCCTGTTCCTCAAAGCGATCGTAGCGTTAAGGTGATCTTAACTCCCATACTTTAACATAGACTTACGTAGCGCTACGATCGCTTTGAGGAACGGGGCCCAGTTCCACTTTAGGAAAGATTTCTGCTTGTAACTCCTGTTTTTTCATCATTCTATGCCTAAGAATTGATGGTATTTATATAAAGAAAATTAAGCCAAACCCTAAACCTAAACCCTCGAAATAATCCTAACCAGCATTGTCACTAAGGTGACATAATCCCCCGCCGCAAATTATCAAATCAAATTTATAAAGTAATGAAAGTTTAAGATGAAGTTAAATGTCAACAAAAACATTATCTTGCTCTTTAGTTGTTCAAACACACACATATTTTCAAGACTGACTTTGACCTTGACATGAATGTCATAGTGTATGAAATATGCAAAACTAGTACTAAAGAAATTGCTTATTGAAAAACATTCAAGGGAGGTCTTGAAAGTCTATGAAGAAAATCCAGTGAACCGTTCTTAAAATATCTTGCAGACAATTCAGGTTAACATTCTGAAATCTTCACATACTGGTGTTGGTGACATTGCAGACAATTCAGGTTAAGATTCTATGGTGTAAGAAGAAAATCCACTGAATATTTTTGGCGAGCATTTTGCTGACAATTTAACCAATTATGTGAAGGTCACCAAAATTGACTGGGCCCTGGGCCTTCCCTAGATAAAGCTTGGTGTCAAATATGAAGAAAATCCACTGAATATTTTTTGAGATATCTTGCTGACTATTTTAACAAGCAATTTAACATGCTGAAATCTTCAAAGTCGCTGAACATAGCATTTCCCTGCTGGCGTTTTTGTCAATATTCAAGGATGTCATTTTGTGGAAATATAAGCAAATAGTAACCACGTCATAAGAAACCCCTAAGCATATATACTGCAGGTAAAATATCTGTGTTTTATGCGGATTTTCGTTTGTTGATAGATCAGTGTCAGCGACCAGAGAAGAGAAAATCCAAAACCGTTTGTAAGTCCCAATTGCCAGCAACCAGAGAAGAGAAAACCCATTTTAAGTCCTACCAAAGCAAGTAGTCGTTGTCTGATTGGTTAAATCCGTTCGGCCATCATGCGTTTGATTGGACGGTCATAGGTTGTTCAAAGGTTAGCTGACGCGACCTTCTACTAGGTTTTGTTAGACTCAGTATAGCAGCGTAACGAATAATACTGAGCCTAAGTTTACTCAGACTGATTTAGTATAGGTATTGGAGTTTAATTATATCTTAAGGGAAGGAATAAAGTTTTAAAAAACTTATTCTACTGTTGTGGTTACTTTAGTATGTGACAGTCAGGACAAGACAATCCAGTGACCGACATCATCAGCATCAATCCTTTCATTTTTATTTGACATGCCATTCACTGATAAGTAAGTGTAATAATTAGTTCTTTTCATGACTCAATGCATCTGAATTTATGAACACATATTTGTTTCTCAGTTTGCCTGTCACAGGTACATAGTTGAAAATCAAAAAAAAAATCCCTGCATCTGATATAGGACCTCAGATTTCAGGACACATTATTGATCATCTTCACAGCATTATCTGCTCATCACATTTCCAATTGCAAGCACATCATGAGATCTAACCATGCTAAATGGGAGTAGATAAGTGAACGCTTCACCACACAGGTCAGTAAATAAGTTTTACAGTATGAGCATAATATCATGTCCATGTTATTTGGGTACAATGACAGATCTTCAGCCAAGTCACACACTTTAACCACTCAATCGTTATTTGTGTAATCAGTTGTCTTTTATTAAATTGACACAATGCAAGATTCTGACACAACAGTGTTTGTTCCAGAGACAGCAAGATTTGTTTTAAAATATTATTAGACAACTCTCACCTCAAAGGATTGCAGCTGTTCATTCATCCAGGACTTGATCCTAGACTTTACGGAGTATTCTTTCTTGAGATGATTCACAAGCTGGAAATATACAAACAATATCAACTGATGAAATAATTATCAACAACAGCCATTTTCACTAAAAATGGAAATCCCTTATTGAACAAACCTCCAATTCCACTACAAATTCCTTTAAAATTCTTTACATATCTAGTTTATTATCATTATTTCTCATAAGCATATTATTAGCTGTGATAGCATTGATTGACATACTCACCTGCTGTTTGTGTTTTGCATTTTGAGCTGGAGATTTTGTACTGCTTTCCTCATGGCTAATACTGCTTTGGCTTGAGCAACCAGGAGCTCTCCTGAATAAAACAGTTTTGAAACAGTTTCAGAAACCATTTTAACTGTTTGATTGAACCTATATCTCCACACATTATCAGTAGGTCTGTAATCAGGAGTGAGTGAGTGAGTAAGTTTAGTTTTATGCCACACTCAGCAAAATTCCAGCTATATGGCGGCGGTCTGTAAATAATCGAGTCTGGAGCAGACAATCCAGTGATCAACAGCATGGGCATCAATCTACGCAATTGGGTTTCGATGAAATGTGTCAGTCAACCCAGTCAGCGAGCCTGACCACCCAATCCCGTTAGTCGCCTCTTACGACAAGCATGGGTTACTTAAGATCAATTCTAACCCGGATCTTCACAGGTCTGTAATCAGGAACAAATATAGAATGGAATTACGATTATAGATTGTAATCTTATCAACAAACCTATTCCTGATTGTAGATTATCGAGTTCAGCATTTGTGATGACCGCCGAAAAAACTCGCTTCAGATATTCATGCATCACAGCCTCGTTTACTCTCTGAAGAAAAAAACCATTTGATTTAAATTGGACCTTACTGTGTCTGGCAAAAAGTTTAAATTTTTCAGGGTTCAAGACAACCAATAAATTCATGTTTTTAAAAACAAACATCAAATAGGTAATTACAAGTTAGGCCCCTTTGATTTCATTCTTTCTCTCATTATTTACAGTATAACCATATTTTTTATAATAACAAATGTGTCTCATTAATATATTCTATTACCTACTATTTTAAACATTTGTAACATTCAGTACTGACCTAACAGACTCATCAGTTAATCTTATTATATCATAAATAGATTGCAATTTGTTGTGACTAGACTGACTGACTGAGTTTGGTTTTACACCACTTTTAGCAATATCACAGCAGGGGACACCAGAAATGAGCTTCACTCATTGTACCCATGTGGGGAATCGACCCCAGGTCTTTGGCATGATGAGCAACGCTTTAACCACTAGGCTACCCCACCGACCCTTTGTGACTAGAACAAGTCATACATTAATATTACATTGTAACACATATTATGACACAGTTATTTTGAAAATAAGATTCAAAGCAAAACAGGGAACAGTTACTTACATCCGATAGTGCTTCCTTTGATAAACCTTTTCCTGAAATATTATGTAAATCAAGGTAACAAGCAAAATATATTGGATATGTGGACAGGCACTTGATAAAACCTGTTCAAGTGTGCACATCAATATTTGAATATTCTTCATCCACGGCTAAAAAACCCTTTCTGTCCAGTGTTGTTACATTGTTTCATTCTGTTTCTTGGCCACTATGAACTATACACAAACATGTTCAAGTTTCAATTTTAGCCATCTACCCAGAATGGTTTTCCATTCACCTCATTCATATTGTGTATGTTAAGCTACTGACCTCTGAACTCTCTGACCAGTCTCTGTCTGTACTGCACTGTCCAGCCCTTGGCCTCACGGTCCAGAATATTGCTCAGTATGGGCAAACAGTTGTCCATTAGATCTGGGGAACAAAGCAATAAAACATTCAGATATCAAGTTAATATGTTGTCAATACATTTGTCAGACTTCGAGATCAAAAACATAGAACCTGCTGGGGGACACCTGTACTAATCTAACCTCACCTAAACTTAAAATATGGGGCACCACAGTCCTGCTCTAAAGAATAAATACTTGATGTCAGGTGTCTTGTATTTTGCCATTGTAATGAAGTCTTACAAAGTTATCTCCCTTCCACAAACGCCTTAAAGAGAGGCAGTGACACATAGCTTGTCTCGATCTCATAAGCAAGAATTTAGAGAAACTAATAACAGACTACTTTCCTTAAATGTACAACATGCACAAAACAGGGTCATGGTAAGGATTTCTATGTTTCTACAGAGTTTTCAATTCAGAAAACATGTACCGGTAGGTTGTATTCAGAATTCATCCTGTGTCTATATGACACATCAAAGACGTCCCTCACCTTTATTGAACAGCCTCAGATCAATCTCTTGCCCCTTTGGTGTGAGGTATCTGTAGGGTATTGGTGGGGGTCTCAGATCTGGTGTCTTGGAAGAAATAGTCAATCATCAACAGTCAAACATCTTCTTTGCTGATTCAGCACAATGTTTCAACTTATTTCATGTCCTACACATGAAAACTTTATACTTTAAACTATTAAACAACAGTTCCCTAAGCTAACAGTATAGATGGCGATATGAAGATGGCCTCAGTACTCTCCTTACATCAGTAGTTGCCGATCTACCCACTTCGGAACTCACCAAAATGAAACATGTTTCTATTCGGCTTACCTTATTTTTCTCAGTCCTCAGGAGTCGACACTGTTCTTTCACATATTCACAAAAGTTGTTCAGCTCTCGCTTAGAACTTGGCTGAAGAGGAATTAATTTTCACATAAAGTCCAAGACTGCCTTTCTTTAAAGCTGAACTAAGCAGTGTATGAAATGATGGTCGCACTAATAATATGCATGCTGGGATATGAATGGGTTGGGTTTTTTTTCAAAATACACTGAAAATTAGCAGGCAATCTCAGGGACTGCATGATGTATGCATATAATGTAAGTTCATGTATCACAAAAGTGACTGTTGATGTAGCAAATTCATTGCATATGTCCAATGAGCATGTTGAACAAAGGGAGATAACTTCAGACAGGGCAGCTATCATGGCAATTGATATTTCTGTTGTGGAGTTTACATCATCACTGAATCTCCTTAAAATGATGCCAAATCCCTGCTTTGTGAGTTGTCTCACCTTGATACTTAGTTCCGCCACCAGGTAGCGCATGTGCTCCTGCTTTACCTTGTACCCAAGGTCACCAGCTGTGGTGGAGGGCATACCAAATGCAATATCTGTAACACAAGCAGTTGTTAGGTGACTATTAGCTCATGATTTATTGTAGTATCCACACACAAGACAGCAGCAATATTCTAAATTAAGCATGAAAGTCATAAGATTCTTGCCACAGTCATTACGTCAAATACAAAACCCCAGGTACCCCTCAATTTCATTCAAGTATTAAGAAATCTACTCACAGCTCTATGCATGTTATTCTTAGGCACTGTAATACCTTCTGGATCCAGCTTTAAAACATGTAATGGTATTTTGCAGAGCAATTGTTATCCATATTTCACAAGAAATGACAAAAATCTTGCTATACAAACATATTGAAACTTGTTTTGTAAATCAGTATGACATAAGCATTCATGCAACAACCTCTATCTGTCCATTGAAGATAGGTATCTGTTCTACATATGCAGTTCAACCTACCTAGACCGGCACCCCATTGGCCATTCCAGTGGCACTCAATTTGTAAATTAAGAAATAATCATAACCAACATGGAGAAACCCTGTGATATACACCCTACCTAGCAACTTCCACAGACCCTGCCCCCAGCCACGCAGAGCATCTGAGACACTGAAGAACGAAGAGCAGAACCTGTCTCTGGCCGTGATGATCAGAAGTCGAGGGACAGAGCCGCATCCTGCAACACAGAACACAGACGACTGTGCAACAAACATGGCACTCACTGGAATCAGACTATAATCATTTGGCTTGCTACTGCTTGTGTTTCTTACACAAATGGAAATCTTTTTACAGCGTCCAACATTTTCTCAAATGTACTCAATCAGTCAATACACAATAAATTCGATACAACCTAGCAAGAATGAATAATGTGCCATTATCTATTTGTGATGTCAACAGTAGTGTTTATTCCAAATGACAACTATTGTTCAGAGTTACAGCTTACTTACGATGACTTTATATTAATATCCTGCCAGTTCAATGACACAAATCAATCCAAGAACCAGTCACAACATGGCAGAAATATGGCCAGTGTGGCCTAACTCACTTGCTCACTCACTCCTAGTCCCCAAACCCAAGTAAGCTCATCTAACATTAAACGTATCCCAAGAACATGTTTCTGGCAGGTAAATGTTACAAGCTACTTCCATCCCTGCATATGTTAACCATGAGTGAGAGAGCAAGGTAAGTTTTATGCTGCTTATATCTGTAGCATCATTACAGCAGTCTAACATGGGACAAAAAGAGTGGGCTTCACACGCCGCAAACACGATAGGAATCACACAGGTTCTTCAGTGCCCTGTGTAAACACTTAAACCATGAGGCTATATCAAGACTTCCTATAAGAAATTTAGCTAATCAGACCTCTTTAAAAGCAGCTGTGATACTGGTCAACTTTCACACCTTTCCCGACTTGTCATGACAAATTGTACAGATCGAGATTTACTCACATTGAGTAGGGTGTCTTGAGCTCTGACGGAACCCTTTTGTAGCAGTTGAGTGAGGCGCCACCTGTGAACCTGACCTGGGAAATGGATGCTGTCCACCTCAAACTCACTGAAATGTGACAGAATCCATAAATAAAATCTTATATTAAACTTCAACCTTTTTCATGATCTTGAGACTAACCAAAACCAGTATCACTGAAGAAAAACATCACACCAAAATATGTCTTCTTTACTGGGGATGCATTTAATTATAACAAAATAAAAATCAACGTATCAGTATTCCTTGGCTGAGGTTCCCCTACTGCTTCCCTCCAACTACTTATGACAACTTTCACTGCTACAGCCTCCTGCTGTTCCCATGTGTCTCACCCCTGGTTCCAGATACTGTTGAGCTGCTTCTCATTGAGTTTCTTCAATCCTCCCGATTTGCCCTTGGAAACCTCTTCCAGCTCCTCAAACGTTGGAGCGATGAACATGTTCTTGAAGTTGATCCAGCCCTATCAATGACAGATGTTAGTATAAATGAATTCACTCATATACACCTTATTCATATACACCTTATTCAAGTGTGGGAATATTTAACTGCACTATCATCACTCTATCCTGCTGGTTGGTTGCTTGCTTTGTTGTTTAACACCACAGTCAGCAGTATTCCAGCTATATGGCTGCGGTATGTAACTAATTGAGTCTGGTCCAGACAATCCAGTGATCAACAGCATGAGCATCAATCTATGCAATTGTGACACAATGACATGTGTCAACTAAGTCACTGAGCCTGACCACCCGATCCAGTTAGTCGCCTCTTACGACAAGCATGGATTACTGAAAATAATTCTAACCAGGATCTTTATGGGTACTTTCACCTGCAGCACTGTCTACTCTAGCATCAGTGTATACACTTTCTCCCCTACCTTGTTGTATATAAGGTGCCTTTATTGTGCAGTCTCAATTTAATCGTGACCTACCTTCTTCTCCGAGTCTCCTTCCCCGTCAAATCGTCCAGAATCCCTGATGGAGGAATCTGTGATGGACTCAGGCAACACGATAGGGAACTCTCGCCAATGGTACAACAAGTTCTCTGCAAGCTATATAAAGGAAGTCATTCACTTCACATTCAATTAGAATGAGTGAAAACGAAACATCTTCAAAATAATTACCCTTTTACAATTCCTGAACACAAACAAACATCTGTTGACACAACTATACATAGCCAGCAGACAAATAAAATTAACTTTCTTTTCTGTGCTCTTCTGATTCCCTGACCATACATCATTAATCAAGTAAAGAATTCATGAATGTATGCAACAAGGGTTGTTACCTGCTTGATGTTGTCCATCACACCGCTCATCTCCGGTGACACAGTGGAAGGGTCATAGTGAAAATATAGTGGCTCTCGCTGCAAAATACATACAGTACACTTCATTCAGGACTGGAAAGAATGAATGAATATTACTTTACGCTGCATCCACAATCTTCCAGCTATAAGTGGCAAGTTCTGGACTAGAACACTAGTCTTAAAGCCCACGTAACAACACAGTATCTTTAACCTTTTCGGTACAACTATACTGCACTTGGTATACAGTAATAAGAAAGAAAATGCCTTAGCATGATAAACAGTGTTTGAAATATAACAAGAAAGCAAGAGGTTCTTGTCATTGCCCCCGCTTCCCTAAATTCCTGTACAACAAGAGTAAAGTGCAAACATATCCAAATATTTCAAACACTGACATTTCACATTTACAATCTAATTACCCAAAATTTCACAATCAATCTCAGCATGGCCAGGCTAGCTCAATTACAATACAAATCAAATGGATATTTTTCATAATTGCTCTTTCCCAAATGAACATTAAATTAATTGAAAGCAATCAATCAATATTTCCAGACAATATCATCCCATGGTTTGCATGGTTAGGCATAACCACTAATCCAAGACGAGCAAAATATTATCCAGGACTTGCAGTTTCCATAACAATCTAGTCCAGTCAAGCTGTAGGAATTACTGTAGACTTGCCACATTGAGTCAACAGCACCAACAACACTGTGTCTTGGTAGTTTCATTGGAAATAATCTCAGACTTTGTCACAATAGTGTGGTTTTACGCCGATGATAGCAATATTCCAGCAATATCACGGCGGGGGACACCAGACATGGGCTTCACACATTGTGCCCATGTGGGGATTCGAACCCGGGTCTTCGGCGTGACGAGCGGACGCTTTAACCACTAGGCTACCCAACCGCCCCCTTTGTCACAAGAGGAAATGCCACCTGGAAATTATTTTACTCTAAGCAAAGAATTTCACTTGTTCAATGATATATTACTTATTAGCATCCTTCAGTGGCAGTGGGTAGCCTTGTGGTTAAAGTGTTCGCTCATCCCACTGAAGACCAGGGTTCAATTCACCACATGGGTACAATGGGTAAAGCCCATTTCTTGTGTCCCCTCCCAGTAGCTGGAATATTGTCAAAAAATGGCATAAAACTAAACTCATTCATTCGCAGTCTGCCTCAAAGAATCAATGTTTAACAATTTCATGTTGTAGCATCTTTACCTTGGGTCCCTGTCCACCCTCTGGTGCCATGTCTTCTGAATCCAAGCTACTCTCCATATCTGAAAACAACACTTAGACCATTCATACAGTGGAAAAGAACAGGAATAATACTGATAAAAATATGCATTATACCATGACAAGCTTTTGGGGATAGCTTCTTTTATCTATGACATAAAACAAATTATCCATAAAACTTGTCATTACTGCACTTCCTAACTTACATAAACGTCATTCAAAATTTTTTATCATACCTTAGAAATGTCAGCCAAGGAAAAAATTTATCAGGATGATCAAACAGCAGTTTTTAATCAAACTAATATTTTAACCGAGATAATCAAGACGTAAGGGTTTGTATCCTGTATTATTGCAAAGATAAATTTTAGTGAAGGTCTGTTGTCCAGAGTACATTCAAAAACCATTGTGAAAAACTTCTGGTTGACTGGACGTTATAACTAGGTCAGTGTGCATTTAGAGAACATTTTGCGGTTGTGTTGAACCTCAGATAATTTGCATTATTTACTTTGGTCCTTTCAACTTCAACACAATGCTGTTTGAATGTATTTGCAAATAGCAACCAAAAAATCATTTTGACTGGAACACAACCCTAATAGTTTGAAAATGTACTAGTGATTCTGTAAGGGTGACTATTACGGCCAATTTAACTAACAGCATTGTCATGATAGCAATGCAATGATTTAAAACAAAATTATAGTTATGGCAAAACTATCGCAACAGTAGTATCTTATCACAGTGTTCAAAATTAAACATTAAAGTGAAGGGGTTCTTGTCAAAGCCTAAAAGATTTAAGATCCTTGAAGACCTCGTGGACACCCCTTTAAATCTGATTATTGAGTGAGTATTATGAGGACCTTTATCCATCAGTTATAACTACCTAACATAATTCTTTGTGCTTTGTATAAACAAACTGTGTTTAGGATTGAACATAATACTGAAAATGGACATATCAACAATTTTTCATTTTACTATGTCATTCTGTAGAACGACAGATGTTCTAATTTCATTAGACTAATTGTTACAACATCCAACAGGGTTTTATGTGACACAATAATATGTGTTCAGTACACACAAATGAATGGGAAAAATACATATATTACATCCTGAAGGACAAACAACAATATCCAATGCATCGAATCCTTCAAGAAATACAAAGTTCCTGTGACAATAGTAATCAGTAACTCTTACAGTAGCATATTTTACACACATTCACTTCTGTAAGGAACCTTGAAATTATTATTTGGGTACGTGTGAAGGTTCGGGTTAGAATGAACCTTCAGTAACCCATGCTTGTCTCAAGAGGCGACTAACAGGATCGGGTGTCAGGCTCACTGGCTTGGTTGACACATGTCATCGGTTCCCAATTGAGCAGATCAATACTCATGCTGTTGATCACTGGATTGTCTGGTCCAGACTCAATTATTTACAGACCGCTGCCATATAGCTATAATATTGCCTCTTACGACAAGCATGGGTTGCCAGACCAGATCTCACTTCAGGATGTAAGTTTGAATACACATAATCGCATAGAAACAAGCTCTTATGACTTCTTTCAAATCATAAATGAATTATAAAATGAAACTCTCCAGGATCAGTGGACATGCATATTGGGTGGACATTAGTGTAGCTCATATTTTCTTTCGGTCTTTAAAGTTGGATGTGGTCCTGAAAGTTACAATTATTTCTGACAATCTCGAACCAGCCTCTCATGCAAAAACAATCATAACTTTATTAACCATATTTCTACACATACATGTGGTAGATAGGGTTAGCTAATGAAACAGACAATAGAGACTGATAATAGTTAATGAAAAATTATAATGAAAACACTTAAAGCCAATAAGTAAAAAGCTGTAAGAAACAGCGTATTCATATCACTAGTGAGTGATGAAACATTTATGCATGAATTATTTTGTGGACATTTAATATTTTTCTCTCTTCAGCTACAGAAAAAAGACAAGTCTCTTCAGGTCTATCAAAACTCAGTTTCATCACAATAGTTTTTATATGATATTATTGATGACTCATCCTTTATATCGATAACTATTTACATTTCTTCCCATAGAAGATAATGTGATTGTCAATCTTGTTTACCAGCCCTAATAGTAGAGTATTACCACGACCGATTCAACTTCTCATGAAAGAAATGGTAGGTCAGATTTATTGTGAAATTAGTGTGTGATGTGTAACATCATATAAACAGGAACTATTATTTTAACCAATATGACAATGTGTGTCAAATTAACAAACAAGGGTACAAAAGTGTTTCATGAATGTAAATATCCTGATAACTGTCAAACCAAACCTGGCAGTTTGGTCCAAACAACCTATTTCCTTGCCAACTTTTGATAGCACATTTTCCTATATCCTTGTTTTATTTTTAATTTATTTTTTTATTATTATAGGATATTTATATAGCGCACATATCCAGGCAACAAGTGCATGCTCAAGGCGCTGATAGGTATTTTTCCCTCGATCATTGGATGTCAGTGGCACCTCGCACTATCAATCTCAACTCCCTATGGGAGTTTTAAACTTGACCAGCTTCATTAATTTGCTATAGCATATACATGCTAAGACATCTGGTGCCTGCCACCTTTTTATAATGACACAGTTTTGTTCTTCAAATAGATATTTCGATTTTATACAAACCTCAAGTAAATAGATCACTACATTTCAGCAATTGTGGTTGTAATGTTTGTCTTAATTGCATGAGATAGTTTCAGTGGAAATATGTAATCACATATGTAAGTTCAGCAGATTGCATATTTTCCTGATACAAAGCTTTAGAGCTCATCCTGCATGGAATAGATCTCGCTGTTGGAATCTGCAATAGTTCGTCATGCCGGCAAATACCCTCCCATTCCACAACACAATAAACACTCCACTGAAGACAGCTATAACCAATTATTCCCACCATTTACATGATTCATGGCACACTGCAGTAAATTGTTGGCATTTCAAAGTAAAATGGAGAAACCAAAGACAAATCAAGTTTGCTTTACCTCAGGCGTGAACTTTGTTGTTATCAAGCTGCAGCTGTCAAAATGAAGATCTTCGGTCTCTGATCATATGCACGGTCGCTATCATTCTACTCGATTAATTGCAGTTGCGATCTTCTTATTCGTTTGACAGGCAGTTACAGCTCTGATTATTACGGTACTCCCTTGCTTGGGGAATCAAATTACCCTTTCAGCGCAAATACAACTGCTCAACCTGTGCGAGTGCGGTGTCGAGCAAAAAGAAAACAAATTTCATTCATCTCGGCATGAGCGAGAATCCACGGGATGGCACGAGACAAGATTTGATAGTAATGGGAAGACAACTGTTGTTGAGCATTCCAGTTGTTTCGCGTGCGCTTCAGTCGCATATAAGCTGGCATGAACATATCTCATGTCATTTCCTTTATGCTTAATTGTTAGCTGCTTTTATACATTAGCTTATGTTAATGACAATAATTAGCGTGATTCAATCAATCAAACAAAAAATGAAAATGTATACATGGCTGGATCAATGCCAGAAAAATGGACCACACCATCGATGCTTCAATCTAAAGAAATAAATAATAATGTTGAAAAAACCCTGGAAGTTATTTTTCTGTTCGATCTTGTATGTCGTATTAATGGACACGTCATGGAATTCATTTGGTATCCCCGATTTTATGGCCATGGTTTGTTCAATTTCATTTGTTTCCTATCATCTTAGGGCGGCAGTAAAATCTGTCATGGGTCGGTAGATAAATTCAGTCATGCGCGTTATAGATCATCAGTGTATGAGGCATGTCGCGAATATGATCCCACTGCTCAAGGTGAATTGATCGCGAGATTTATGTCACAAATGCAATTATAAACAAATGGGCAGATGTGTTTGCTTGTGTGTGCGTGTGTGTGTGTGTGTGTGTGTGTGTGTGTGTGCGTGCGTGCGCGTGTGCCTGTCTGTCTAATCGTCTGATTGCTAGAAGTTGGTGAATTAAGGGACCGTTCATAATTTATGGCTAGGGGTGGGGGTGGGGGTATGGGGATGATGATGATTTTGTGAAGCATGTACAATGTGACTGACCCCCAACAATTATGTGACATCCCTTACAGGTCATGTACACACACACACACACACACACACACACACACACACACACACACACACACACACACACACACACTCCCTTCCCATATTTTGTAAGCATTATTTCTTAACATTTTTATGTACAAAATTGATGACTCACCCCCAGTTCATGTGTGCAAAATTGATGACACTATTACGTGCGCACCGTTGACAAAGTGTAAGGGGTCACATATTCGAATTGTCAACTTGACTTTCTTGTCGGGTGTCTGGTTCAGGCTCGACTAATCATTATTCCAGACCACTGTGACATATCTGCAAGATGAATGAATTCGAATGTGCCGCGCTGCCCTGCAGTAAATGAACACCCGATATGTGAGGTGGATGTAAAACACTTCCGGCGACTACAGGGAGCATGTTTTGTATACTCCCAAGTGAGTTGAGAATGATAAGAAACAATCCACCGATCTGAGAAAAAATATACAATTTTAGTAGTGATGCCTGGAAAAGTGCGGTATATAATGCATAGTATGCAAAGCGTCGTGCAAACATTAATTTGCGAGTCAACATTATTTAGTTAAAGTGGTAGTATTATTTACATAACGATAAAGTCGTTAATATGTCAATAATATACATGACGGATGTGTAATGGCAAAATGACTAGAGGTCACACTGACTTGTATGGGGTTGTCCAGTTCTCGTCATGTATAAATGCGTGTTAATCAAGACAAAATAACTATTGCATGTAAGGAACAATATCTGAGCATGGTGTCCACATAACCATCAATTATATCATGTTGGTTTAAAATCTCACCAGTGGCAGGGCAGTTGGGTCCGAGGATGGATTCCACAGCAGTGACCCACACCAGACTCAGTGTTGACAGCGCTGTGCAACGTTTCCGGGTTCCACGACTGTTGTGCCGCGTATGAACTCATTGTGAGCTTTTGAATAATATCAGGATATTCAAACTCACAATTCAATTGTAGTAGTTCCTTTATTAACGCTGACGGACGTCACTGTACTTTCACTTTCATTGAAATGTAAACATGAGGATTCATTTGTTGTTGTTTATGTTTCATTAAATGAAAAATTGGTCTGCAGCAACCTATGCTTGTCGTAAGACACGTTCGCTGACTGCCATCGTATCCCAAATGTGTAGATCGATGCTCATGCTGTTGATCACTGGATTGTCTGGTTCAGACTCGATTATTTACAGACCGCCGCCATATATAGCTGGAGTATTGCTGAGTGCGGCATTAGACAACAAACACTGAATTATATATCATTGAAAGCCCATTTCTGGTGTCCCCCGCCGTGATATTGCTGGATCATTGCTAAAAGCGGCGTAACACTAAACTCACTCACTCATCATTGAACACATTTCAATACACATTCTGAGACAGCATATGCCATACTGATTGTAACTACAAATGAACTGCTATGCAGTCCGATGGAGTTATCGTTGTCCATGAAATAATAGCCACTTGGTGATTCAAACCCGAGCCCCGTTAGTCAGAACACTGTTTAAAACACAAGCAGCTTGGAGTCTTCATTCATTAAACTGACGTTTCCACCTTGGGGTAGTCACGCGAGTTGTGAAGGGGCGGATTGGTTTACTGAACCAGGTGAGGTGAATGTCATTGGCGGATCCAGAGAAGGGGGGTGGGGGGTGTTGTCAGGGGGTTCCACACCCCACACCCCCCTTGAAAATGACTTCAGACCACATTGAAGATTTTTATTTTGCGATGGGGGACACACCCACCCACCCCCCTTTTTCAAAATTCCTGGATCCGCCCATGAATGTTGTTTAACGCCACTGGTATCTCGTCCTGGATGCACCCTGACTGCCATCTATTTCCAAAAATAAAGTTATCTTATTAAATTAAATTATTAAAAATATATAATCAGTCGTTAGAATTCCACTGTTTCCCAGAACTGCCCGATAATCATTGCCAGAAGATGGCGGTGTTATTTCTGCTGAGGACACCACCAGGAGGACCACTTCTACGCCAGTGGAATCCAAGTACACCAGCATCGTTGCCTTGGCAAACGTTTGAGACCTCGGAGGGGATTATGTGAAAAACAATTACCAAGAACAAGCCTCCATCAAAATCAGAGTTCGGCTCAGAACATGAAGCCATTCCTCGTAGTAGATGATAACTGTAGCCTAGTGTAGGTCCCCATGGCTCTGTTACGTTCACAAATGGACACAACTCTTGGCAGACCTTTATGCATGTAAAGGGACCGAACTGTATGTGCCAAAACAGTCCTTTTAACATGCATGGCCAGCCTTGATATCCCTTCCTTTACAAATTCCAAAGAACGTAAGCCAGAGGAATTGACATATTTTTATTGCACTTAATTTCAGTAGAGAAAAACGTGTGTACATAATCACTGTCCAGCTTATTATGTCTCTCTTATCAGATAAAATGACAAACTGCTTAATCCAGGGGTTACTTGTATCATTTAACACATACCTGGACAAGGTGGCCGAAAAGAGTATACGTTAACCTGGGAATAAGAAACTTAATCAACATTTACTTTCAGCTTACTTTATATATCAGCGAGGTTTAGGAGGGAGCGACATGAATCTCCACCACAGCCTTACCAAGACACCGATATGATCGCTCTTTAACCATGCCTTCATCGGTTTCATTTAATATCGATACTGTCATTATATCCATACAATCTATAAGCTCATTGTCGAACAACATGCTTAGATTAGCAAACGTTTGTCTTACATATAAACTGCAAATTGGGCCAGGACAGGCTTACGCGTTACGTAGATTGAGTCACGTTTTCCTGATTATCAACATTTAAGCCTGTTATCAAGCGCGTTGGTTCTTTATACTATGGACTTCATATACCAGTGGGAGAAGTCAGACATGGCTCTGTACTTGGTTACCTCAACAACACTGAAGACAGCGGAATGCCATACAATCTTTAAATTATGTATGCACGTGCATAGGCGACATAATTAGCCGACGTTTATAAATGATTATACCATAAGCACTGTCATATGCACTGTGTGAACACAGATTCTTAAAAACATTTCCTATGAATGATATTTGGTCCACAGTCGATGTAATCCTGCTTGCTGATCCACATTTGTTGGAAGGTTGATAGGGATGCAAGGATTGAGCCTCCAATCCACACGGCGTACTTCCGTTCTGGCTGAGCAATGACCTTGACCCTGATGACTGGTGGGGCCAGGTCGGCGACCTCTCGCGTGATCCGGGAAGTGATCCCCGGGAACATGGTGGATCCCCCCGAAATTACTATGTTGCAATAGAGATCTTTCCTGATATCAACGTCACATTTCTGAATTGAGTTATAGATATACTCGTGAACACCTGGTGTCTCCATGCCCACCAAGGCTGGCTGGAACAGCGGTTCTGGGCATCTGAACCTCTCGTTGTCAATACGTATTACCTGGCCGTCCGGAAGCTCATAGGATCTCTCCATATCAGCGTTGGAGGAACACGCTTTAAAGTCTCTATCAAAGTCATTGGTAACAAAACATAATTTTTCCTTTACATCGCGAACGATTTCTCGCTCGGCAGTTGTTGTGAAGGAGTACCCTCGCTCTGCCAAGAGCTTTACAAGATAGTCTGTGAGGTCTCTTCCCGCTAGATCGATCCTCAATATGGCGTGAGGCATTGAGTAACCCTCGTATATTGGTACTGTGTGGGTCACCCCGTCCCCGGAATCTAGAACTATGCCCGTGGTTCTTCCAGAAGCATACAGGGACAAAACGGCCTGAACAGATACAAAGAAGGCAGGGGTGTTAAAGCCTTCGAACATTATCTGTGCCATCTTTTCTCGATTGCTTTTAGGATTCAGGGGCGCCTCCGTAACTAGGACTGGGTGCTGTTCCGGTGCTACCCGGAGCTCGTTGTAGAAGGTGTGGTGCCAGATTTTCTCCATGTCGTCCCAGTTGGTGACGATGCCGTGTTCTATGGGGTACCGCAGAGTGAGGATGCCACGTTTGGACTGAGCCTCGTCACCCACGTAGCAGTCTCGTTGTCCCATCCCCACCATAACTCCCTGAAATAAAGGCACAATGATCAAATGGATAATTGTTCCATCAAACAGCATGCAATATAATACAGATAGTCTCTTGTCCAGGTTACATACGCCCTAACAACCTAGATGTCTGTCATTTAAGTGAGTGAGTGAGTTTAGTTAGTTTTACGCCATTTTTAGCAATATTACAGCCATGTCACGGCGTGGGGCACCTGAAATGGTCTTTACACATTGTACACATGTGGGGAATCGAACCCGGGTCTTCAGCGTTACAAGTGAACGCTTTAACCACTAGGCTACCCCACTGCCCCCTTGCCGTATCATAAAAGGAGACTTAATAGAACAAGTGGTCGCTTTGGCGGCTTCGATTTGGGCGTGTTATCGTACATACATATATGTTTCTCGTAATGCCAATCCCTGGTTTCTCCGGTTTATATTAAATTACTCACAGCGCGCTGCCATATGACCGGAATATTGCTTAGTTAGGCATTAAACGACAATATATACTAAACTGAAGTAAAATATCAACATTGACCCAAGGGAGATAATAAGCCCAGGAGGATCTAAAGTCCACCAAACTCTGCATTTTAATCCCTTCGTGGATCTTTTTTTCGGAATACCAAATCAATTATTGCTATATCACAAGATATTATTATTCAAAAAGCTTTCACTTAATGAAAGATTATTACAAAACAAATTCCTTTTGTTTATGTTAGTGAAACTGCATTAAATTGTTACAGAGGAAACATCTCCCATATGACGAATTATTTGTGTCAAGGGTTGATTTTGTCCAGTGGAACATACATCATTAGGAAAACGTTTGACTGACATACCGCCTGGTTAAATGAGGCGGACTGTTTTGTGATATGAAACTTAATTCAATTAACGTTTCTGATAAAGCTATTTTCACAGAATGTGGCAGTTATTTATTACAAGAAACGTCTTTAAATAGCTGTTTTAAAACATGTTTTGAATTTAAAAAGAAGTTTAATCCATAAAAAAATATCTTGGACATCAATGTACAACTTCTAAATGCCACTGAAAGACATCATGTTTTGAATGATTCTGAACTTCTAAGAACAGAGGGGGCGGTGGGGTAGCCTAGTGGTTAAAGTGTTCGCTTGTCACGCAGAAGGCCCGGGTTCGATTCCCCATGCACACGGGTAGAATGCGTGAAGCCCATTTTTGGTGTTCACCTGCCGTGATATTGCTGAAATATTGCTAAAAGCGGCATAAAACCCAATTCACTCGCCTACGTCACCCCACTTCGCTTTGCAGGGTTGCCTCCCTTGTGTGGGCACGCCCGAAACATATGATCGAGGGTGTGGTTATGTGAATAGATTTGTCTGTACCACGTGGGCTGCAACAAAGGAGCAAAGTCTATAAGCTCTCCACCACCTTAGATTTTCCTCCCACGTCAAGTTGGAACGCCGTGAAATAATTTGAATATTGTTCCAAGCTGTGTTAAACCCATCTGACTCACTCAAAGAAATAAAATAAATTTTTCAAAAAATGCTCGTGAATTTACCCTTTTAACACGCACATATTACCGGAAACACTCGCACAACGTTACCTTATGTCTGGGTCTCCCGATAACAGAAGCAAACACTGCTCTTGGGGCGTCATCCCCTGCAAACCCGGCCTTGCACATACCGGACCCATTGTCTAATACGAGCGCCCCTATATCCAAGTAGTTGGTCATCGTACCCTTGCTTCTCGCCAGGACGAACTTCTAGGTCTGCCTTGGTGTGGATGTGTGCAGCCACATTTGTACGACAACGGTCTGAGTGCATTTATGGAATTCCATATGAGTTACATGATTATTTAATTAGGTATAAAAGTGGTATAAGTGAGACAATTAGTGGGTAATTATTCCCACAGCTTGCCGTCGACTTTTACCGCCATCACATCAGAATGACGTGACACTCTAAAGGACAACCAGGAACTTTCATTTGGTTCCAGGTGGATATTTTCATTTTGTTTGGGTTACGTTTACTTCAACTTAAGAATGTTATGGGCACTCTGAGACGGAATTGGTCCCCAGTATAACATATGGTGATGAGAGCAAACCTACAGACAATGAGGATTGGGTGTGACTTGATTGCCAGTCACCGTGAGCCAAATGCCGGGTTGATGCTCATGACTTCAGTCATTGGTTTGCATGGCCCAGACTCTATTATTTACTACCTGCAGGGTTATGACAGACATATCACAGGCCCATGTGTCTTTGCGAGGATTAAAGATTTAATATATGTATTTGAGATGACCCCCGAATCAAAATGCTTCACTGTACAATACATCATGACCTTGTCATGATGTATTTTACTGTGAAGCATTTCGAGTCGGGGGTCATCTCAAAAATAATATTCTATAAATCTTTAATCCTCGCAAAAACACGAGGGCCTGCATGTGAGACATTTATGGCTGAAATAAGTAGGATTCTATCTCACTATCGCCGTGGCGGACGTTGTTCGGTGTTCGTGATTACTGCAAGCACTGCAACGTGCATGCACGTGTGCTCTTTGTACTAATCCAAACTTTACGGTGTTACAGCTCTACACCGATACGTTTAAAAGCCAAACGGCCGTCGGGTACCATCTTTATCATGGAGAGATAAAGTAATCCCCTGTCTAAAGTGGAGTAGAATATAATTTTGGATTGTTAAGTAATGGTGGGTGGGTAGTTTTTAACGCCGACCTCAGCAATATTCCAGCTATATGGAGGCGGTCTGTACATATTCTAGTCTGGACCAGACAATCCAGTGATCAACAGCATGAGCATCGATCTATGCAATTTCGTTAAATAAGGAATTACTTGTAATGTTTAAATAGCCAGTCACTGTTATTTCACACTATGCTGTCACCAAACCAGGAAGTATTTCTTACATGCCCTGTTATGACAGATATTTCCATCAATATATAACCTAATGTACCATAACTCGTCCCTTTGATGGTGAACTCTCATTTTCTATTCATCAGCGACTAACATCCGACTGTGAAATACTAATGAATAAAATTCAGAAGGCATTATTTGTATTATTAAGATTAATGTTAAACAAAAAGGCAAATGAGTAATATTTGTTTTTAATGCATGACCCGGTCTGACTAGCCTAAACATATCTGTAGTGAACTGAGATTTTGCCTCAGTTGACATTTCAATACTTATTATTAACAACCAAATCGCCAACCTGTATAAATACCAACTCGACTCATTAACATTTACTCCATGGCTCAAATAACTATTGTACAGAGTGAGTTTCGGTTCACCGGCAACACTGTAACAAATATATCGGACAAAGGAACTATACCCCCAGCTCCAGTAAAGACATGACGTTTAAATCTAACATTATTTTCAGAACCTTTTTGACATAAGCATATTAACTCTTCACATGCTCCTGTTTTGTTTCTGAGTGAATGTTGCATTATGACCTCTTCAGCAAAAACGGGCCAAAACGAGTTCGAGCCTGATCTAAACACAGGCAGTGTATTCTGTCATACAGGCCGTCAGGTCATACAAAGTCTGACTGACTGACTGAGTTTTGGTTTTACGCCGCTTTTAGCAACATTCCAGCAACACCACGGCGGGGGACACCAGAAATGGGCTTCACACATTGTACCCATGTGGGGATTCGAACCCGGGTCCTCGGCGTGACGAGCCAACGCTTTAACCACTAGGCTACCCCACCGCCCCCTCATACAAAGTAATGCCAACATTAATTACTGCAGTAGGCTGCTATAAGTACATGTATGGGATCCTTATCCTGGATAACTCACTGCATATATATATTACCACATATTAAAATCTGTGCCGGTTCCACAAAGCGACAGAATTGGTTTTCAGTAACCCATGTTGCCGTAAGAGCATTCTAAGTCAACTATACGGAGTATAGCAGTGTAACGAATAATACTGAGCCTAAGTTTACTTAGACTGCCGTAATCTTGAGTCGACTAACGGGATCGGGTGGTCAGGCTCACTGACTTGCTTGACACATGTCATCGTGTCCCAATTGCGTAGATCGATGCTCATGCTGTTGATCACTGGATTGTCTGGTCTAGACTCGATTATTTACAGACCGCCGCCATATAACTGGAATATTGCTGAGTGCGACGTAAAACTAAATTCACTCACCCATGCGACCTTGGCACTAAGATCAGTACTTGCCTATGTTAAAGTATGGGTAGTACGCTGATCGCTCCGTGAAACGGGGCCCTGATTAAAATTGCATATGCAAACTTTCAAAAACAACTCTCAAACGGGTTCGATAGTTAAATGAAAGCTTCAAGTTCGTGTGATATTACACATAACAGATCCACAAGCTCCCTTCATGTGGCAACACCTATTTGTCAGGACACAGCTGTTAAATACGCAATTACATCAAGTACTTCCTGAAATTATAAACCACTGAGGGAGTCATGATATGACAGTCAGTTGTTTACAATGTCTGCCCATGTTGATCCAATAACAGCATCTTATGTAATGTACTGACGTCATGGATCGTACGTACTTCACTTTCGACACAGGATATATAGTATTCTGAACATCACCCTGTCTCGGCTGTATGACCTGCCTTCAACCCAAACTGACCATATGCAATATGCACCAGGGTCTTGTAACGCAAATACACTGGCATTAAGGTATATACCAGTACTGTCAGTGACAGAGCCTTAGCACTAGACAAAAGGATCCATCAGTGACAGTGCCATAGCACTAGACAAAAGGATCCATCAGACACAATGACAGCTTTAGCACTAGACAAAAGGATCCATCAATGACAGAGCTTTAGCACTAGACAAAAGGATCCATCAGTGACAGTGCTGTAGCACTAGACAAAAGGATCCATCAATGACAGTGCCTTAGCACTAGACAAAAGGATCCATCAATGACAGAGCTTTAGCACTAGACAAAAGGATCCATCAGTGACAGTGCTGTAGCACTAGACAAAAGGATCCGTCAATGACAGTGCCTTAGCACTAGACAAAAGGATCCATCAATGACAGCCTTAGCACTAGACAAAAGGATCCATCAATGACAGTCAGTGACAGAGCACAGAGCTTTAGACAAAAGGATCCATCAGTGACAGTGCCTTAGCACTAGACAAAAGGATCCATCAATGACAGCTATACACTAGACAAAATTCCATCAATGACAGAGCTTTAGCACTAGAAAAAAGGATCCATCAACTGACAGTGTGAATTAGCACTAGACAAAAGGATCCAGTGCCACATTTGAGAGCAGCATAGCTTCAATATCCTTTACTTAGCATATATGACAAAGGATCCATCAATAACACATTTTTTTAGTATGTTTTGCTAGACAAAGATCCATATCACTAGACAAAGGGATATTTCAAAGGATCCATCAATGACCTTTAGCACTAGAAAAAGGATTAGTGATACTAGACAAAAGGTTGCATCACATGACAATGTTAGCACTAGACAAAATGAATATTGTGCACCAAATCCATTTCATGTTTCAGTGTTGATGATAAATTTGTAAATAGAACTGTTTGTACATGTATGGCACAAAAAAATAAAGCTGATTATGTAAAATCTAGATCTTTAAAGGTCAAAGTGACTAAGTAAACAAATGTAGGTGCACTGTTGGGATTGTGGGTCAATATTCCATTTCATGTTTCAGTGTATACCATTTTTAAAGTAAAGGTATTAGATAAATTGTTGGGTCTAAAGTCAGATAACATGTTAAAGTATTGAGTTTGTACATAACATGTGGCACAATAAATAAAATTGATTATGTAAAAAATCTATACATATCTTCTAAAGGTCAAAGTGTCTGAGTATGAAAGTTTTACCCCACTATTCCAGCAATATCACAGTGGATGACACCAGAAATGGGCTTCACACAGTGTGTCCATCTGGGGTCTTCAACCACTAGGCTACCCCAACTGCCGTAAAGGCGAAAGACTTCTAAATGTTAGGGCTGCAATGAATCCACTACGAGTCGTTTATGATTCTTATCACAGCGTATGAATATTAGTTACCGAATACACTAACAAGTCCGCAGTTGATGTATTATTCATTATAGTCAGTGAAACAACAAAAAAATTCTGACCTGTCATCACAATGACAAGTGACCACATTAGTGTCAAATTAAATAAATGAGAAGGTAAACTATAGCCAGGACTTTCCTGCCTGGCTTGGATCTATTTCCCTTTTGCATATCTTGCTTTGATAAATAACACTTACTTGATGAACCAGATGAAATTTATTTCTTGTTTTACGGTTCACTGGTCGTATTTTTTCACGAACAAAAAATATAAATTAATTTTCCCCACTCAAGAAAGAAGATCCTAATGTTAATGTGATATAAATACCCTTGAAATCAGTGTGAAACCTAAACTCATTCAATTTATTTTTAGTTGATATCAACAAACCAAAAGAGTTAACATGGAAACTCGTGGGTTTTTGCTGTGTCGGGTGATTTTTTAATTATTTTTTTTCCCTCCTGCCTTTAGGTTTTCTGAGGACAGAATTCTGTAAAACAAGAAATAAAATTGGTCTGGCCTAAACATAAACCTTTCACAACCCATTATTCCATACCAATACAAAAAAATATTATGTTGATGTATATCTCAAACAGTTGCACTGGCCTAGTTTAGATGTAGCTATGATTCAATGAAAGAACATGGCAGAACCTTTCATATAAGAGAAATGAGATTGTGGAAACAATGCGACTAAAATGCAATGAAAGACAGTTTTCACTGTAAACATAAATGTCTAAGAAGCAGATATTTTAAATGCAAATGGTATGAGAACCCAACTCTGCTTTCTTGTACCTCCTGTTTACTTCAAATATATCAGTAGTAAAACTATTTCCATGTACATATATGGTTGACACATGCATAGGTTCCAATCTGCGTAGATTGATGCTCATGCTGTTGATCACTGGACTGTCTGGTCATGACTCGATTACCATATAGCTGGAATATTGCTGAGTGCTGCGTAAAACTAAACTCACTCACTCCCATGTACATATATCATTAAATTACATTTAGATTTTACTACATTCCTTTGAATTGTTTGTTAGGCATTTCTGACAAGCTGAAAGTTTGCAAAGTAGACACAAACTTTTTCTTGATGTAATACTATACTCCAGACAAAAATGCATACTGTCTACTTTTACATTATTTCGACTTCAGCATGTCCATTTTGTTTGTTGATCCTTATCTGTCATCAGTTCGTCATATTAAATGATAAGGTAAGTATTTTTAGAGACCTTTGCAAACTGACAAGAATTTACAACCAATGCTACAATGACATAGTAAATAATTTTGTATTAATAGTTAAACCTCTTTATTAACAAATTGTCTTAATCATCATCTTTCCTGATGAGACAACCCCCTTGAATTAACTGAACTATCCAAACAGTGGATGTTTTATTTTATTTACCAACTAAAACAACATGCACCCACTCAACCTGAATGGAAATTTCACTTATGTGGTCAGCTTTGGTGACTCAGTTTATAACTGTCACTATCTAAATGGCCTGGATTAATGTTTGTTTTGTAAATCACTTGATTGTCTGGTCCGGATTTCTTTATTTACAGACAGCCAACATATAGCTGGAATATTCATTAAATAATCACAAATAACAAAATATTACTCCCCAGCTCTACAGAATGGTAGGAATTTAACATTAGATGTTTATGTCATCTGTCTACCTTTCATCTGGGCATCAATATGTGACTTAATATTACTTGATCAAATATATGTCACATATATTCAGCATTTCTATCATAAACTTAATATACAACACTAACCAAATGTTTCCGTATCTTAAGTTTACAACTCTGTAACACTGAGCCAGTATATTCAGTGCAAATATAATACAGACATGTCATTTATAAATAACATATTTCAAACATCAATTGTTCAGTAATATCTGGTGCCATAATGAATTATATGTTACTGATTCCAAGTCTCTCAGCTTGTTCGAGTGCACCTTTAAGATTGTCATCGAACAGTTCACATCTGATAGGCATGTCCAATGAATAAAATGGATTCTTCAAAGCAAAGTCAGCGTAAATCTCATACAGCTTCTTTAGCAGCATTTCCACTGCTGTCTGCCTCGGATCTGTGAGCACAACAAATTTGATCCCAGTCATTGTTTGATGGCAATGAAGTTTAAAAGTGTCCGTCTCTAAAACTTCAATTCCCGAGGATCTTGGTTCAGGGGAAAGTTGTGTTCCGAATGCGAACAAGGAATGAAACATACTGGCGAGCATTATACGCTGATTTGATGTCAGCTTTGGTCGTCCAAACTTAATGTTGATGGGGTATTTCTTCTCGTCATTTAATACCTCAATGATGTCTCTTCCATCTTTTAAGCAACGTCCCTCCGCTGGAATTCCGTTGACAGACAGCACCGTGTGTCCAACTTTGATACCATCACGTTCTCCAAAAGCCACAACAACTCGTTCGTCAAATATTTTGAGTTTCAGTTCTAGAGGAAAACTGAATGTCTTCTCAACCTCAGGGCGGTTTGAAGTGTGGTCGTAATGATAAATCAGACTCCCGGCTTTGTTGATGACATACACGCTAAAAATGGCCATGTTTTGCCGGATATATGGATCTTTTGATTTGGTGATGACCCACCTCACATTTAGCGCCCTTGAAATAACACCTTTATGTGTATGAACGTAGTATTCAAAGAAAAACTCTACCCTCCCACAAAATTAATGCTATGTAAACCGGAAGTGCGAGGCGTCACAACATTGAGAAATGTAAAACCGATCTGTGTTTTCTCGGATGAAACGATCAATCGCTCCGGACGAGTTCGGAATATTTCGTCTACTGCGTTTTGGCGATACATTTCAAGTTCTTGTTCATAAAACAAAATGTTTATTTCGTGACAGAACAATACGGGTACACGTATCTCGATGAACAAAATATAATAACCATAATTATATGCTATCCAGATATTTATGACGGAGGAAAAATGTAAGATTCTGCATTTTCATAAGTGGACACTTGACAACGTGTACTATTTCATCGTGGTATTCATCGGATAAAATGCTCGAGTTATGTACCCTGAAACCATATGACCCGGAAGTCGATCTTTCAGAAATTAATCACGTAAGTGAAAAGATGTGTGTGATTGCTACCTCCTTTCAATCGTGTCAATTTCAATACAATCATAAGATAATCAGTCACTATTACTTTGTATACACTTAGTACAACCAATAAACATGGCACTTGTCACCTTATTTTGGGAAATTTTAAGGACATTTGTCCAGTATCGTCTTGTAAAATATACACCTGAAATTTTCAGCAATGGCGGACGCAGCCCCAGCCGGTGGTAGAGGAGGATTTCGTGGTGGGTTCGGCGGCAGAGGCCGCGGACGTGGACGTGGTCGCGGCAGAGGAAGGGGACGTGGTCGTGGAGCTAAGGAAGAGAAGGACTGGATCCCCGTGACGAAACTGGGTCGTCTCGTAAAAGATGTCAAAATCAAGAGTCTGGAGGAGATCTACCTTTTCTCTCTGCCTATCAAGGTTAATATATTGTAAATAAAGTTGTTGTGTATGGCTTATAATATTCCCACCTTTTTCAGTTATAACAAGGGTAATACTTGACATTTCTTCTTCGAAGCATGATAAAAACAACAAAACAATTTTGAAAAGAACTCTTATTAAGACGTTTTCCCAATACGTCTGTTTTGAAATTGTTATGCGTGAAGATATAAGTTGGAATTTGGGGAGTAAGGCTTTTGTATTGGAAACAGGATATGGTTCTTGTGGGTTTCATCAAATTAATAAACAATAGACATGATGCTGACATGTCTATTGATGTCTCAAGGATAAACTGAAATAATGTTGAGATACTATGCAAATTGAAAAGTTGTTGCACTTACGATAAAATTAGTGGAATTATTGAAAAATATTATGTAATCAAGTTTCAGCATTGTTATGTGTGAACTTGTGTTGCAGGAGTTTGAAATCATTGACTACTTCCTGCCACCTGGAACCCTGAAGGACGAAGTTCTGAAAATTATGCCTGTCCAGAAACAGACCAGGGCTGGACAGAGAACCAGGTTCAAGGTTGGTATCAACAAATTGATAGTTGATTCATGCATCACTCAGCGATATTCTAGATATATGGTGGCAGTCTGTAACAGTCTGTCTTGGCAATCAAACAATATGGGCATTAATTTACGCCTTGGGATACAGTGACATTTGTCAACCAAATCAGCAAGCTTGAAAACCTGATCCAGTTAATTGCCTCTTACTACAAGCATGGTTTATGGAAGACAAATTCTATCACAGATAATGGTTAAAGTGTTTGTTCATCGAGCCAAAGACCCAGGTTCGATTCCTCACATGGGTACAATGCAGTGAAGCCCATATCTGGTGTCCCTGGTAATAAGTGGTATATTGCTAAAAGCAGTGTAAAACCATATTTGCTCACTCTTCAATTGTACATGACCCAGTTATTCAAGTTATCATTAATAGAATTTTCTTAACTTTGCCATTGGCGGTGGCACTTGTCCTGGGGCTAACTGAATACTAAATGACAGCTGACCTTTTCCTGTATCTTAGCTTGCAGTTGCGACTGTTTGGTACTATTCTGACTATATCAGTTATTTGACAATATAACTGAACCAACTTCAAGGCTTTATACTTAAATCAATGTAATAGAAATGAAAAGGTATTGTTGGCAATATCATGTTCCTCCATTTCCCTCCCCATTACTACTTAACTGAAGGAAAGTAGATGTTGTAACATTTTTCAATCAACACACTGCTTATTTGATATTCAACTGTTTTCGGGCATAAAATTGATTGTAAGAACTGGCTATTGAACTATTGATTGGTGGATGTTTATCATTGGTGTTTTTAATCCCTATCTTTAGAATACAATTGAAAGGCAAGCATTTGCAAGTTAAATAAGACACCAGTTAGCAATGTTGTTTAATGTGATTAACCCTTAGTATTTAAGGTTAATCGTATTAACAATGTGATATTTGTTGATTAGAGGTCAGTTTCCTATCTTGTTCAGTTTTCTGATGAAGTCAAGCCTAGTTAAATGCTTACAGTATTTACTTGATGTTTACAGGCCTTTGTCGCTGTTGGTGACTTCAATGGCCACATTGGTTTGGGAGTGAAGTGCTCCAAGGAAGTTGCCACTGCTATCCGTGGTGCCATCATTCTGGCCAAACTGTCAGTCATTCCCGTCCGACGAGGATACTGGGGTAACAAGATCGGAAAACCACACACTGTCCCTTGCAAGGTTGGTACATACAAATGTGATTTACACTGTAAATTCTTAACTTCACTTTGTTCCATTCAGCGGAAATTGCCAGAGTTAAGTCATCGGATAAATAAATATCAATAGGATGTCATGTCAATTATTTTTGGGCATTAATCAGTATTTATTCATTCTTCTAGGTGTACGGCAAGTGTGGTAGCAGCCGAGTGCGTCTCATCCCTGCCCCCAGGGGTACTGGCATTGTTAGTGCGCCTGTACCCAAGAAGCTGTTGCATATGGCTGGTATTGAGGACTGCTACACCTCAGCTGTCGGTGCCACTGCTACACTTGGAAACTTTGGTAAGTAAAAGTTATAATTATGTGGTGCATCAAAACAAAAATCTGAAGTTCTTTCCATCGGGTCAAAGGGAGATAACTGATGCCTTCATGTTCATTCCTGTACTTGTATTCTATGTATACTCGTTGTCACTGCCTGGAAATTAGCTCAGTAGGGATGTATTGGTATATGTTGACATAGTTTGGATACAAATAAAGAACATGTGTAATAAGAGAGATAATTTTAAGTGTTTTGTGAGTGTAATATTCTCAGGTGTACCGATGTTTTGTGTGGATTTTGGTGTTTTTTCCTGTTTGTGAGAGAATATTTTTATATGATTATTCAATAAATAAAGCACATGAAACTGAAAAGGTTTCTTTTGATATATGTGTAAAATTCTTTGTATTTGAAGAACAATTGTAAGAAAATATGGAAGGCTTTAGAGAAGAAAAACAAGTCTACATGGAAATTAACATTCCTGTGTTGAACAAAAGTTATATATGCTTGAGGAAAAGGTTTTTGAACAATGTTTCATAATGTGCTGTCATAAATGTTACGTACATGGGGATCCACGAATGCAACTCCACATCTCTCTTTTCCTTGTACAGCCAAGGCCACCTACCAGGCTATCTCCAAGACGTATGCATATCTCACCCCTGACCTGTGGAAGGAGACCGTGTTCAGCAAGAGCCCCTACCAGGAATACACTGACTACCTGTCAAAACACCACACAAGGGTCGCTGTCCAGAAACAGGAACAGAAGGTCTACTAGACATGCGAGGAAAACTTGTGTAAAACAAAATAAGAAAATAAAAAAATTAATCCTAATATATTTCTTTTTCTTTGGAGGGATTTAACAGCAACTGTTGGTATTTCTCCTGCATATTTCTGGGTTCAAGGATGACAGTGAAAAGATTTGATGGGATGTAAAGAGTGAATTAATGTGCTCTTCCCAGTCATGACCCAAAATCATGCTCTTGTGTCATTAAATGGTGAACGTTAGACCCAGTCAATTGGGCTTTCCACAAACACAAATGACGCAACGTCTATTTAAGTTATATCATTTCATAGGTGCCTATCGCATGTGCCTGTGTACAAATAGTTCCAGAGTTAAATGACACAACAATACAATATTGGCCTATAATTAGGTCTATTTCAGAAACGTTCGCCAGTAGAGCAGAGCACAATTTTTCAGTATATTTCAGGAGAGCAGAGACCGAGAACGATTGAAGCATTTAGGTAAACGTGGATGCCACGTGGAAACTCCGTACCGGCTGCGTCATCTGCCGCTTGTTATCTGACTAAGCGGATAGTAACAGTTATGTTGACTGACACCAGGAACATGCGGTATCAACCCATCTGTTAAACATGCAAACCTTGCAGCTGTATACCTGTTGTAACAACACACGTGTATTATACACGCCCGTACAGAGTCCAACCTCTGCTTGTAGGAGATGACAAAATAGATAACTGGTCGGAATGGTGGATAAGGGTTTTACCAGGGAGACTCTTGTAGAGTATCCCTGGTTTTACAAAGTGAGTTCCACTTGATCTTCGGAACTTTACCCCCAAATGCCTACCCAAATATTCACGAACACGTAGTGTAATTAATATTTTTATTGAAACAGTCACACCTAAATGTTCAGTAGATATCAAATAGTGGGATATTCACCTGCAGAACCCAAAGAATGTGAGAAAGCATCAACTGGGTACTCGACCTGTCAAAGTTCGTCACAAAGGGGCGGTGGGTTAGCCTAGTGGTTAAAGGGATCGCTCGTCACGCCGAAAACCCAGGTTCGATTCCCCATGGGTACAAAGTGTGAAGCCCATTTCTGGTGTCCCCTGTGATGGTATTGCAGGAATTTGCTTAAAGCGGCGTAAACACAACGACACAAGGTACAATCCTGTATCAAAGCGCCGCACACACCAGAACCCCTGCCTATGACATGTACCACTCGTCGGGTGTAGAGGTTGTCCACTAAAATAGCAAAGTTTATCTGTACCTGAACATTCAATATCAAATGTATGCAGGTTTGCACAACATGTGACAGTGATAAGGAAATAAGTCACGGTTAACAAGGGTATTACATCTCAGTGTCAAAGATACTGCAGACACTGTGGTACGGAATGGTTAATTGTTCATAATATTTAAAACAAATTTAAACTGTGATCATCCGTTTACTATCTTTTGTTCTTTATATAGAAATAAAGTGGCAGTTATAAGTAACAGCGAAGATCGATGCTCATGCTGTTGATCACTGGATTGTCTGGTCAAGATTCGATTATTTACAGACCGCCGCCATATAGCAGGAATATTGCTGAGTGCGGCGTTAAACAACAAACAAACTATAAGTAACAGCGAGGAAAGACTCCACACTTCGTTCTAGCTTGAACCTAATTATGCTCGCACCATACTGATCACTGAGTTTACTTTATCTGTTTCTCACTTTAATACCTCAAGATACAATCCAATATGGATAAGAAGTTGAAACAATACCCTCAGGGAAAATCATGAATACTGTTATCAGGGACGTCAGATGGAGTGGGCTGTGACGGATCTTGGTACTTTAAAATATTTAACGTCACCTTCCCGACAGAGAATATATAGATACCATTGGTACCATATTCGTAGCAACGTTGTCTTGCAACCTCATGGCCTATTTACTCATTCCAGTTGTTGACTATTTTATCAAAGTGCAAAAGACAAAATGATGCAAGAGGAGATAACCATACTGCCCAATGTTTAACAAAGTTTGTGCCGCCAAATTGATGCTTGTTTGGAGTTGTTAAAAACTTCCTGCCAATCGGAAAGTTTACAACAAACTTAACATCGTTGTTAGGTATACTTAACTTTTCACCAGTGGTTTGTTTCAAAATAGGGGGAAATGTTTGCAGGGAATCCTGCATATCGTTAAAGATGATGGGTAGAACAGGACTGTCTTTGTGTCTGTGGCTGTTGGTGACCACGTCTCCTGGTCGTGGAGACAGCATGCCCGGTTTATCGTGGGAGGTGGAAGATATGCTGGTGAAACTGCAGGATGATTTAGGATTAAAGAGTCTAGGTAAGTGGCCTTTATAGCATCTGGGTTTTTTTTCACCTCTATTTCTCCGTTGGTTATTAGCCAATGCATTATATTTACATTCTATAATAAAAAATACACTGGACTTATACCATAGATTTGTCGTCACCTGCCTCCATTCACAAATTTGGCACAGTGTTTCTCGCGCATCTCTGTAATTTGACTGGATGGTTATTTTAAAAATTTGGGGCGGTGGGGTAGCACAGTGTTTTGTCGCGCATCACTGTAATTTGACTGGATGGTTATTTTAAATGTCGTTTTCTTCAAATTGGGGTCCACATGGAGTTGTGGTGAATAGTTCCACATTTTTGCATGGTGATAGTAAGCATATATTACTCTGTTGATAGTCAAGGATGTATTACTCCTAATTAGAAGACAGCGTCTGTGTGTATAATGGAACCTTGCTAATCCGGACCCCAGACATCCGGACGATATTTACGTGAAACGATGACAGGCACCTGACGAGATTCATGTGTCCTGAAATGTATATGTTACAGGGAATGTGTGAAACCAGGGATTTCACGTAATCTCCAAAAGAATCAGTGATTTCGTGAAATCACTGTGACCGTCGGAATCAAGTCTGTACAATTCCAAAAGAATTCGGCACTTCATGCAGGTATTAAGTGCAGTCCGTATGATGCGTTATTTGGATGTCATCGAAAATAAGAAACAGTGGACGAACTACTCCCGACTCGTTAACAACGACAGTACTTTAGAAACATTCTTGGTGTGTTTATGCATCATGATCAAGCTAATGACAGTTATAGAATAGGCGTGAAAACCGGTATCCTCAAAGGTTTGTTCATGCGTTCTCAGTTTGATGTAATAAAATACTCAGCACATATTAGAATTAAAAAACCCATTGAATACTCAGACAGGTTTTATACCTGGAAGGTGTATTAGTGAAAACATTACGTTACTACATGACATTTTGTTTGAAGCCAAATTACAAGATAAAAAGGGTCTCTTGTTACTTATTAGCTTTGAAAAACCTTTTGACACTGTCTCGAAAGAATTTATAATTCTAACAATTGGAAAGTTTGGCTTTGGACCCAATATGGAAAAATGGATCAAAATATAAATCAATAATGCTGCATTATGTGTTATACAGAATGGTCATTTATCACAAGTTTGGGACAATGAAAGGGGCTGTAGACAAGGCGACCCAGTCTCTCCCTACATTTTCCTCTTAGTCGCTGAAATTTTAGGAATAATTATCCGTAACAACACTGCAATAAAAGGAATTACATTGAGTAATATTGAACATAAAATTGGACAATATGCTGATGATACTGAATTATTTCTTGATGGATGTGAAGAAAGCAATTGACACTCTCAATAATTTCTACAAAATGTCTGGTTTAAGATACAAGAAAGATCAAATTAAAGCAGTTTGGATAGGCTCATTGGCAGGTAGTGGCATCATTTTATGCCAGGATCTTAAGCTTGATTGGCATAATGGGGATTTTGATATTCTAGGAATAAGGCTTAATCCTAACATACCGTTGGGTAATTAATGCAGCGTAATATTGATGTAATTTCTATTATGTGTAATGCCTACTCATATGAACTTCTGTCTTATCATGTACTAGTTCTGTTGCAGTATGTATTTAGTACATTTGTATCTACTGATTTGATTGAATAATTTTTTTTAAAAACTGTATCTCTGGACTGCTGTGATTTCCGAGTCGATATGTGTAGGTCAGGGTTTACAGAACTGTAACTGGGGCCCTAACCAATGTAAACTGAGACGTTGTAAATGTTTTAAGGTGGGACTGAAGTGTAATAGCCGGTGTCATAACAGTCTATCTTGTCCCAACAAATGAAGCTTTTCAGCATATACTTTGTACGTGCATTAAACAGTTGGTTTTCTCTATTTCAGTAAAGGCTGCCAGGGGTTTCATGAAATCCCTGGGCCAATATTTCAGTAATTTCATGAAATCCCTTGAAACTTTAGGGAATACATGAAATCCCTGGGGGTCACAGTGATTTCACGAAATCACTGACTCTTTTAGGGATCACATGAAGTCCCTGATTTCACACATTCCCTGTAACATATATACGTGAGAAATTCACAATGTGTGAGAATACGCAGGTGTCCTGATAAGAGAGGTTCGATTGTATAAGTTACAACATTTCCTCTATGTTAGAAACATCTTGGAGAATAAAAAGTTTAAGTTTAAATATTTAAGTTGGAAAAATACAGATGTGCAGGACATTACTTTTTACCACTGCTGGAGCACTGTAGTCGACGTTATCCGCCGCAGTGTAACACCCTACGCATTCCCTTTACAGGAAGCAAGACGCCACTTTACCGCAAAGATATGGCTGCTGATTACGTCGCCTATTGGCTTATAGAGTTCAATAATGAGGGATACGTCATCTTATCATCAGGGGAGGCAACCGGTGACTACAGGTAGTTACTGAATATAATAGTCTCTTGTGATTCGTACCACGGAATGGCCTTGGAGCTACGATCACTGTTAATTTGTGTTAGGGTAGAGTTGGTAGTATTCGCTATACTTAACATGTTAACACAGATTATTATTCAAAGGGAGTGCATATATAGGCATTGAGATGAACAACATGCCTTCTATTCTTTTATTCCCTTGTGCAATAAACGATAATGATTAGATGATTTTGTAAACCTATGCAAAGAGATAACATAATTACATGTACGTTTGTTCCGGTGCCTCTGACAATATTCGTTCAAACGGCGCGGAACAAGGGCCATTTTATCAGATGCCCATTCGCGTTGTGCGAGTGCAGTCTAACAAAATCAAGAACATGAGCGCCTGTTATTCGAACCCACCATTGTAGGTTTCTGAACACCATGCGAACACCCCAATCAACACCCTTTGTCGTTCGTGTCAATTAAAACAACGTGAAGTATGAGTGGTGGATCTGTGTTCGTATATTTCCTTTCATGCCATATACACTAATTCACTGTTGAAAGGCTGCTACAACAGGGTTACCTCCCCTTCCCGGTGGCCGTGTTGTCAAGACGGGCAGAAAGACGGGGATCGTCCTGTACCAGATTCTATGTGTTCACAATAGACGCTGAGCTCCTGTGTGAAGACAGCCATGGGTCTATAGCTGCCTCAACCATGGATGAACTGCTGGGCAACCCGGTAAGTATACGGTGAAGTGAATTCAACGACGCCCAATATCTCACCAAGGACATGTGTACACCACTTGAGTGAGTGAGCGAGTATGGCTTTACGCCGCATTTAGCAATATTCCAGCAACATCACGGCGGGGGACACCAGAAATGGGCTTCACACATTGTACCCATGTAGGGAATCGAACCCGGGTAAACGCTTTAACCACTAGGCCACCCCACCGCCCGCACGTCACTTCCAAGAGCGTTGACAGGATGAGCCTTTGACACCCGTGAAGATACCGGTTAAAATTTGTCTTCAGCAACTCATGCTTGTCGTAAGAGACGACTAACGGGATCAGGCTCGCTGACTAGGTTTACACATGTCATCGTATCCCAACTGCGTAGATCGATGCTCATGCTGTTGACCACTGGATTGTCTGGTCCAGATTCGATTATTTACAGACTGACGCCATATAACTGGAATATTGCAGACTGCGGCGCAAAACAATAAATCAAACTTAACCTAAACATAACCAACAACCAATCAATCAATATATTCATTTTCTTTAATAAAAGAGTGAGCTGCATGACGAACAGTTGGCAAGAGAGTACAGCGCAATTTCCGATGGACAGCGCTACCTGGCGGAGGAGTGGGACAAAAAGCGTAGAGACATTCGGGCCAGTCCCGAGTGGAGAACACTCAGCGTAGTGCGCGCAGGACAGGAAGTACAGCAGGTCAGTGTCCTAATGGAGCTCCGAAGAATTATATGTTAGGTCTGTGAAATAATGTGAAAAAAGTGACATTTTAGCTACTATTACACGTTGAGTTTTCACTTAAAGAGGAATCGTTTCACATGCATACACTGTCTCCATTTCTGATCTGATTGTTCTTCTTACATGTACCTAACATTCTCCAGCTTTTCTATACTCTGAACCTTCTGGGAACTAGGGAACTATTAGAACAAACATGAAATCCCTTACTTTCGCCGATATTCTTTGAAAGTATTAATGTAGGATTTTTTCAATTCTGTTATAACTTTGACAGGTGTTTCGACCTACTCCGAATCATGAATCAAATATAATTCATTCATATATTTCATTTTTCAGGTTTACGAAGAACCTGTCATGATAGCCGAGAGCAGGCAGTTGCTGTTGGAAACGCCACCACTGTTCGCATACGCGTCTTCGACGAAACTGCTACCTTTGATCCCTTTGTCCTTGTGCCCCAAACTGAAGTGAAACAGAACTCTAACCTACAGCAAAATGCATGCATTCTTACAAAATTATGTTCAAGTTCGGATCTGACCTTAATCAATCCAGAAAAAATACAAACAGACGAAAATGGCCTTCGATACGTTCCCGTGCGATTCGGCATCACGTTAATTCCAGTGAGGTTTCAGATTGAGGTGTACCTCTCTGACGGATCGGTTGCTGTACGCAACTTCCGGTTGGACGTTTCCTTAACACGCGCTGCTGATCAGCCGATGCACATCTACAGTGTTCCGTTAGAGGAGGAGTTCCCAGATTATTGGGAGCCTGCACTGAACGCTACAATCAGCAGACAGTACCACCAATGTCAGGTGGGCGACGGGACAGTAGCATGGGCCATGGTACTTGGTTATTACGACCGCCGTTCGTCAGCGAGACCACGTGAGTTTGGTACTGCTGCTCAAGGTCTCTTCAGGTGTGGACCATTTGGCTTCCATGGCGATAAGAAATGTAAAGCTCCAAAGAAAAATAACGCTTCTTTTGAAAAGTATCTTGAATCATTGAAACGTCGACTGAACGTCATTTGTAAGGGCGACGTTGGTGTAATGCCGGACACAATGATGGCCAACATCCAGCCAGTGTTTCATCATTTGATGGAGGAGGCTTCCACCGTCGTCGTTACTTACCAGTCAGACAAGAAGTCATACGGTCTGCTTCTAAACTACTTCCCGAGGGATCCCGAAGATGCCCGAAACCACGCGATCAAGCATTTGACCAGTAGAGACGCACTTCCGGTTGTGGTAGATTCCCGGATGTCAAGGTTCTGGGGCGCTGTTGGCCAGCATTACGTGGTGGCAACCAAGCTGAGACGAAGGTTCCTGAGGTACAGGGTGTGCACGGGGCGGGGCTGTGGAGACTGGCGGACGGACTTTGATGTCGAGTGGTACGAACATGGCGGGTTGGAGTCCAAGGTTGGAGATGGCTGGCAAAAGGCGAACACATTCTTTGCCGCCGTCGCATCCTACAAGTAAAACATGCACTTGGGCTACTGGATGTATTTCCAAACGGCTACTGGATGGCTTCTAAGAAGAGTACATTGATTAATGACACGTTATGCCATAAAACGTTTATCTTTGTTATGTAACGGACAATTCACGATCTGAGACAGGACCTAAAGTTCGGGTGAAATCAAAACAAAATATATTGTTTTCAAACGTACTGACCAAAATCTGTGGTGAAATCGAGACAAAATTTACAAACGTATTGAACATTTCATATCTTTTACATATTACGCCTCAGCTTATTATTGGTTTGCATATTATTTGCTTGTTAAACATCTGCAGCTTAAAAGTAATTGACGGTTATGAAGATGATGATGATGATCGATATACGATTTAGGGCCTAAACATTCAAACCGAGTCTCTATTAGCGGATTTACGGCATGTTTGATGCATGTGTTCGTATTTTGAATCTGCCATCATGGAATAAACCAATGCATCTTTGGATGGAATCATGTGTTTTTCTTGATAAAATTAGATTTTAAATAACATGTTTGACTAAACATGTCTTTAACAAACTCGTGACGAGCTGACACAAAATATCCACGCACGTGTTGAACGGAACACTTCTTATTCACTTTCAGGGAAGTTGTTCCACAATGCAAGATAAGTGCTGCGATGATCTTGTAAGTCAATTGGTTGATTTCGAATTTGATGACGGTGAAGACTTTCATTTACCTAAACAACAATAACTTTTTCTTACAGTACTATTTACGTACAATCATCATCAAGTCTGTATTAAAACGCAATGTGATTTCAATTAATACCGATATTAAATGACAGAATATCCCATAAGAGTGGCGGATTGATAGGAATTGTGTAGATGTATTGTTTCCGTGTAGATGTCATATTCATAAGAGCATCATTTTCCCCAAGCTTCATCTGTATTACTGGGAGATTGGTAGGAATTGTGTATTTCTTGACTTTCATTGCTGCTGTACAAAACACTAACGGGAAGCCGGGCGCAAGTCTGAAAGGAGACGAGGTATGACTTACTGGCCAGAATAATAACGAACGTCGCTAAGAAAAGGTAGGGGAGGGTTGGGAAACTCTCTGAAAACAACCGATTCGGCCGGAAAGCAGAAATTGCTGACGTAAACAAAGGAGCTACATCACGACTTATTGTGTCCCCCAAACTCTTGACATCACAGAAGGATTACGTCAACAATCAGCTGACGTCAGAGACAATCAGCTTGTCAAAACGGTACACGGCGGGCGTGGGATGTACTCCGGGTCACTGATTTGGATACTGCAAAGACAAGCACTGATAAGATAAGGACGGGTGGTCAAGGCGGGTAAGCTGCATCATGTATTCATTCATAGGAAACACAGTTTAGTGCATGTCCAATCTGAGAAAGGCCAAAGTACTACCAGAGACCATGGCCTCTGGTACTACGAAGTGACACTGTGAACAAAGAGGTTGGATGACTGTAGTATTTGAGGTGATGAATGGAGTTTGTATCTGCGTTCGTTTTGTCATGTGAATGTGCTTGCAGAGTCGGAAACGAGATTATGACTTGGTTGTAGGGAACGGTAGGTAGAATAGTGTATATGAAAAACGCAAGTGCAAGTGAGTATTGTCTGTCTGCTTTGGACAAGAGAGAGCGTTGTGAATTGTTAAACATGCGCATGTTTGGCTGGTGGGATTACTTCCTGGACTGTCAATACAAAGCCTATTGCTATGTGTACCAATATGTGATAATACCGCTGTAAGACCTGTGGATTGTGTGATTGTAAATTGTTAAATTTGCATACCAGAGACACACACAAGTAAACCCAAAAGTCTGCCCACATCCTTCTCTATGCATATGTGTCGCAATCAGGGAATTTCTTTAACAACGTCGCCGAGCATTGTCACCTCCTCAACCCTCCATGGATATGCAAATGGATGACAGTGTACATTTCTTCATGTATCCTACTATTTGAAAATGAATCTGATAGACCCAGCAGTAAGTAGATTCAAGGAAACTATTGGGCTATGCATATTTGTTTTGGTACGCGTTGAGAGTATAGTCCCTTGGCAGTCTCTAAAAGTCGTATCTGACATGTATTATTTCCGTGTAGATGTCATATTCATAAGAGCGTCATTTTCCCCAAGCTTCATCTGTATTACTGGGAGATTGGTAGGAATTGTGTATTTCCTGTACTTTCATTGCCGCTGTACAAACCACTGAAGGGAAGCCGGGCGCAAGCCTGAAAGGAGACGAGGTATGACTTACTGGCCAGAATAGTAACGAGCGTCGCTAAGAAAAGCTATGGAAGGGTTGGGAGATTCTCTGAAAACAACCGATTCGGCCGAAAAACAGAAATTGCTGACGTAAACAAAGGAGCTACATCACGACTTATTGTGTCCCCCAAACTCTTGACATCACAGAAGGATTACGTCAACAATCAGCTGACGTCAGAGACAATCAGCTTGTCAAAACGGTACACGGCGGGCGTGGGATGTACTCCGGGAGCACTGATTTGGATACTGCAAAGACAAGCACTGATTAGATAAGGACGGGTGGTCAAGGCGGGTAAGCTGCATCATGTATTCTTTCATAGGAAACACAGTTTAGTGCATGTCCAATCTGAGAAAGGCCGAAGTGCTACGAAGTGACACTGTGAACAAAGAGGTTGGATGACTGTAGTATTTGAGGTGATGAATGGAGTTTGTATCTGCGTTCGTTTTGTCATATGAATGTGCTTGCAGAGTCGGAAACGAGTTTATGACTTGGTTGTAGGGAACGGTAGGTAGAATAGTGTATGTGAAAAACGCAAGTGCAAGTGAGTATTGTCTGTCTGCTTTGGACAAGAGAGAGCGTTGTAAATTTGTTAAACATGCGCATGTTTGGCTGGTGGGATTACTTCCTGGACTGTCAATACAAAGCCTGTTGCTATGTGTACCGATCTTGCTTTGGACAAGAGAGAGCGTTGTGAACTGTCAATACAAAGCCTATTGCTATGTGTACCAATATGTGATAATACCGCTGTAAGACCTGTGGATTGTGTGATTGTAAATTGTTAAATTTGCATACCAGAGACACACACAAGTAAACCCAAAAGTCTGCCAACATCCTTCTCTACACATAGGTGTCGCAATCAGGGAATTTCTTTAACAACGTCGCCGAGCATTGTCACCTCCTCAACCCTCCATGGATATGCATATGGATGACAGTGTACATTTCTTCATGTATCCTACTATTTGAAAATGAATCTGATAGACCCAGCAGTAAGTAGATTCAAGGAAACTATTGGGCTATGCATATTTGTTTTGGTACGCGTTGAGAGTATAGTCCCTTGGCAGTCTCTAAAAGTCGTATCTGACATGTATTATTTCCGTGTAGATGTCATATTCATAAGAGCGTCATTTTCCCCAAGCTTCATCTGTATTACTGGGAGATTGGTAGGAATTGTGTATTTCCTGTACTTTCATTGCCGTTGTACAAACCACAGAAGGGAAACCGGGCGCAAGCCTGAAAGGAGGCGAGGTATGACTTACTGGCCAGAATAGTAACGAGCGTCGCTAAGAAAAGCTATGGAAGGGTTGGGAGATTCTCTGAAAACAACCGATTCGGCCGAAAAACAGAAATTGCTGACGTAAACAAAGGAGCTACATCACGACTTATTGTGTCCCCCAAACTCTTGACATCACAGAAGGATTACGTCAACAATCAGCTGACGTCAGAGACAATCAGCTTGTCAAAACGGTACACGGCGGGCGTGGGATGTACTCCGGGAGCACTGATTTGGATACTGCAAAGACAAGCACTGATTAGATAAGGACGGGTGGTCAAGGCGGGTAAGCTGCATCATGTATTCTTTCATAGGAAACACAGTTTAGTGCATGTCCAATCTGAGAAAGGCCGAAGTGCTACGAAGTGACACTGTGAACAAAGAGGTTGGATGACTGTAGTATTTGAGGTGATGAATGGAGTTTGTATCTGCGTTCGTTTTGTCATATGAATGTGCTTGCAGAGTCGGAAACGAGTTTGTGACTTGGTTGTAGGGAACGGTAGGTAGAATAGTGTATGTGAAAAACGCAAGTGCAAGTGAGTATTGTCTGTCTGCTTTGGGCAAGAGAGAGCGTTGTAAATTTGTTAAACATGCGCATGTTTGGCTGGTGGGATTACTTCCTGGACTGTCAATACAAAGCCTGTTGCTATGTGTACCGATCTTGCTTTGGACAAGAGAGAGCGTTGTGAATTTGTTAAACATGCTCATGTTTGGTTGGTGGGATTACTTCCTGGACTGTCAATACAAAGCCTATTGCTATGTGTACCAATATGTGATAATACCGCTGTAAGACCTGTGGATTGTGTGATTGTAAATTGTTAAATTTGCATACCAGAGACACACACAAGTAAACCCAAAAGTCTGCCAACATCCTTCTCTACACATAGGTGTCGCAATCAGGGAATTTCTTTAACAACGTCGCCGAGCATTGTCACCTCCTCAACCCTCCATGGATATGCATATGGATGACAGTGTACATTTCTTCATGTATCCTACTATTTGAAAATGAATCTGATAGACCCAGCAGTAAGTAGATTCAAGGAAACTATTGGGCTATGCATATTTGTTTTGGTACGCGTTGAGAGTATAGTCCCTTGGCAGTCTCTAAAAGTCGTATCTGACATGTATTATTTCCGTGTAGATGTCATATTCATAAGAGCGTCATTTTCCCCAAGCTTCATCTGTATTACTGGGAGATTGGTAGGAATTGTGTATTTCCTGTACTTTCATTGCCGTTGTACAAACCACAGAAGGGAAACCGGGCGCAAGCCTGAAAGGAGGCGAGGTATGACTTACTGGCCAGAATAGTAACGAGCGTCGCTAAGAAAAGCTATGGAAGGGTTGGGAGATTCTCTGAAAACAACCGATTCGGCCGAAAAACAGAAATTGCTGACGTAAACAAAGGAGCTACATCACGACTTATTGTGTCCCCCAAACTCTTGACATCACAGAAGGATTACGTCAACAATCAGCTGACGTCAGAGACAATCAGCTTGTCAAAACGGTACACGGCGGGCGTGGGATGTACTCCGGGAGCACTGATTTGGATACTGCAAAGACAAGCACTGATTAGATAAGGACGGGTGGTCAAGGCGGGTAAGCTGCATCATGTATTCTTTCATAGGAAACACAGTTTAGTGCATGTCCAATCTGAGAAAGGCCGAAGTGCTACGAAGTGACACTGTGAACAAAGAGGTTGGATGACTGTAGTATTTGAGGTGATGAATGGAGTTTGTATCTGCGTTCGTTTTGTCATATGAATGTGCTTGCAGAGTCGGAAACGAGTTTGTGACTTGGTTGTAGGGAACGGTAGGTAGAATAGTGTATGTGAAAAACGCAAGTGCAAGTGAGTATTGTCTGTCTGCTTTGGGCAAGAGAGAGCGTTGTAAATTTGTTAAACATGCGCATGTTTGGCTGGTGGGATTACTTCCTGGACTGTCAATACAAAGCCTGT